CGCCCACTGAAAAATATTGCTTCTTAGATTCCCGAATACACGTTAACCGTGACAGATATGTTAAAGTATATCTCTTGAACGCAGTATTTTATGTGTTTTGATGAACGTCAATAAAGGGAAGTTGAGAAAGCATTAACCCATTTTCTTGAGCATAAGCATGGCCTATTTTTTTTTAGCTTCGAAGTTTTCGAATGGGGCCACTGAGGGAAAAACTTTTTGTGTGGGGGGGGGGGGCGTGCGCCCATTCTATTTTTCCGCACGCCTCTGCCCAACCATGGTACGGTGGGGCTGGGGTTTTATCTTACCCTATGTGAAAGTTGTTCCCTGGCCCCTTCTATTTCGAATACACCGCTATAAAAGAAAATGGAAGTACACAATAATGTCGGCCCGCCGCTGGTCTCAAAAATTGGAACTCTCCCCCCCCCCCCCCACCACCACCTCACTACCCACCAGCTTAAAAAGGTTGAATACTCGGGTAATACATTATAGGCCTATTTAAGTACTTTGCGGATCCCACTCGGCAAATTTCTGGAGCCATTATCACCGCGCGTTGTTGGGCAGTGCACAGGCGCGTGCCGTCCACGCGACCTTGTTCCAAAATTATTAATACGCATGTGCAATACCGTTACATACTTTAAGCCAATCAGAAGGCGTTATTCGAAAATTTAACATCCCACAAAAAAAGTCGGTGATATCCGCGTGACGGCACGCTAGAAGTTACGCAGGAAGCGCAGACAGTACTGAGAAGGGTCGAAGAACCGCGAGAAAAATAAAATACCGTCGGATTTGTTGGTGGGTGATCCACCGTTTTGTTTTTTTTTTTGGATTTCCTTTATAATGGAAAACAATAAATCCGGTGAAGATACAGGCTCTCCTGTAAATGAACAAGTGCAGATCACATCTTCTAATGTGAATTTGGTAGCTCTTAATGGAAATTCGACGAAGCCCAATCTACTACCAGCAAATCATCACGATGATTCTTCTGGCATTACCAACGTCAACGCCGCGTCCGAGGGAGAGGTTGGTTCAAAAGCACACAGCAATGATGTCACGAATAGGCCTAGAGATTCTAAAGTAGATCCGATATGTGTTAGGCCTAGTCAAAGTGAAGTCTCAACGGAGTTAGATGGGGCAAACGACACTAAAGAACAATTGGTTCAACAAGAGGGATACATTGCAATGTCTGAAAATGGAGAGCACTGTCTATTTATTCCAGCGGAACAAGTTGAGGAGGAAATTACAGACACAGCAGCTGATGGAACAGTTTTGTTGCAGCAAAATGATGGTAGGCAACTTCTCATTATGAAGCAAGAGGATGAAAATAACATTGATGTTGATAATGTAACAGATGAACAACAGATGAATCGTCAATTTACAAATCAGCAACATCAAAAACATGAACTTGAAGAAATGCCAACATTATCATCGATCCAAAGACAAAATGAGACACCAGTCCTTCATGAAGGAAACCCAATGCTGATGATGAACTTTCACAATGCACCACAGTCAGTTATTCCTGAGCAAACCTCCCAAATAGGCCTACCTTTCCATCACCAATATAATTATAATTATAGACAAAGTCCTGTAATACAGAAATGTTCACCAAGAGCCAATCCACAAATGAGTACAATATCTCAACCATACCCTACCCAGGTCAGAGCCACATATGTTCCTCCAAGTATGATGTATGCACCTCGAGACCATTACAACATTGGGTCATCAATGCCAAATTGTACCAACTTGCCACCAGTTTCTTCGTTGAGACCAGTTATTGAAAATCAGACATTGAATCCTATGAACAATCTTCAGCAGGCACCCAGCACTGGTGGTGGTATTGCTGGTAGTGGAGATTCCTCAGTAATGAATTGTTCACCTTCAAAAGATATGCTAAACTCAGGGTTCAACTACAGCCATCAGTATCTGATGAAAGCACCTTTGATGAAGTCAATTTCACCTCTAAAGCCAGGTTAGGCAAATTTATTTTACATTGCGTCAGTACTGAAAGTACTACTACGGTATATAATGGTTATAGTACTACTAGTAGTAGCACTGTATACTTTTCACTCAGTGATATCTAGTATTAAAAATTACTATTAAAATATGGTAAAGTATATTTATACAAAAATAAATGGAATACCCATGTTATGACTTATCGATTGGCTTAGACTGTTTAGCATAATTATTTTAACAATAAATATCTTCTTCCACCATAGATATGATGATTCAACTAGACAGACAGAGGCCTAACACAAAAAACCAAGTCATGAGACCGTTGTACCGTATGGATGGGCGGCCATCACAGGGCCTTGTACAGCAAGTTTTAGAAGTATTTAAGATGTCTAGTAAGACAGAAATGCAGCCATATGAAGTCTACTATGAATTAGAGTAATAAAAACTTTGTATTTTAGCTTATAAAATCTATTAAGCATTATAAGTTACATAATTTCATCTGGTTTCTAATATATGTAAATGGAATAATTCTTTTAAGTAAACCAAGAAAATATGTATTGTTTGATGAAAATACATAGACAACATGCAACATTACATATTTTGTGGTTTAATCAAAGAATTGTTCCATTACTACTATATAATTATGACATTCTTTTTCTGTACCAGAAGGCAATGCTTATAGTGCTAACCGTTAGCACCTTCATGAGAACGCCCGATCGGATACCGATAACGGTTAGCAAGCGCTATCGGTTAGCAAGTTGAGCGCGTTTTTATCATCAACTAATCACACGTACGCGTTTACAATTTCCAGTTTCTTATTGGCCAGTGATTCGATCATCATATTTGTGGTATCCAAATCAGGATTTTCACGTATGGACGCACGGCAGCTAACGGTTAGCAGGATCCGGATCCTGCTAACCATTAGCAGCCGTGTGAGAACATAGCCTTAGTCTTTAAGCAAGAAGGTACGAAAAACATTACCATTGATTCAAAAATTGCCTTAGGTCTGCAAGTCTCCAAGTGCTAATGGTTCCTTCGGATCACTATTTTCCCCAACTGTTACCATCAAAACTTTACACTAATTTCTGATTAATCTATGTTTAACTTTTCTTTAGTTAATATTTAAGAGTATTATTGCAAATACTGTAGATAATTCTGTTTAAATTTGTTCTCTCACAGACAACTATACCCACTGTATACAACCTATAGTGGCCAGAAGAAAAAAAGTTGGATGGTAAGAAATATATGGAGTGGAGTATTAGTAGTAATAGTAGGAATTCTTTGGTGGGGTTAGAAAATTTGGGGATTGAAATTGTTTATGCTCCTTCCCCCACACTGCACCCCTACTTCCTCATCACAAATCCTGGATAAGGCCCTGTGGACAACTTAGACAAGAAAGTCAATTGAGTAATGTGTGTTTGAAATTTTTTAGTTATCATCCAAATTAGTTCTGCAATGTGGCTTATAAAAATGTAAACAGAACATTGAGTTTTTATTGGAGTAAGAATTTTGTTCATAATGTATATAAACTTTGGTTATACAATTGGCATTCATTTTAATTGTGTTAATCCTGTATTATTATTATTAATTATTATTAATGAGTGGTAATGTTTGGGATGCACAGTAAAAATTTAAAACATTTTCCAGTATGCACTAAATGTATTTAGGCAAAAAGATAACACTAAACAATAATGTTACTGATAAGAAAGTATAATACATATTTCAAATATTTAAATACATGCCATAATGTTGGGATTCCATATTTCAACATTATTTATGCCATCATCAGGGATTCCTAATGATGAGATAGAGAAAAAAATATTATGAGATAATTAATGTTGAAATATTGAATCCCAACACGACGGCATGTACAGTATGTATTATTTTCTTATCCAAGATAATCAGTGGACCTTCTAGTAATGTTACTGATTACAGAAATTTCCTTCTATTATAGAGTTCAGTTAGACATGCACTTACGCATCCAGCTTTCAAGTCACGAAGAGCCGATGATCGAAATGCAGGAGAAAGTCACCGTAAAGGATGTTTCTGGTCCATTAATGAAGAATATGATCCATATGCTCCAATGCCAAAAAGGCGGCGTAAAATGCAACGTACCTTGAAAACAAATTACAACCAGCCATTGCAGTACATGATGATGCCAATGGTGATGCCAAATGAGCAAATGATGGCACCACAGACCACAAGTGCTTTTAATCCAGTGATGTCAGGTAATGTGATGCCAGCTTATATTATGTCACCAAACAAGGGCGGCCCGCCACACATGTTTATGAGTGGGAATAACAGTGGTCAGTCTACAGCCTTGAATATGCAGCCACAGCCTATGATGGTTACCCCATTTTCTAATGTCAGCAGTAACATGGTAAACTTTGGACAACTTGGTAACAACTATCCAAATCAGATTGCACATTCACCTAACATGTACATGGAGCAGATGAAAGATGCGGAAAATCCATTGAAGACCCATCATATCCCAGCATCAAGTACGCAGGTTACTCAACAACAGATTTATCCATTCATTCATCATGACAACAATCAGAAAATGACGCCATTAAAACCTGAACAACCAGAGGTGATAGCGCAGCCAACAGATATGAACCCAACAGGTGTCAACCCAGTAGGTGTGAATCTAGCAGGTGTCAATCCCAAAGGTGTCCATCTAACAGGTGTTAACCCAACAGGTATCAATGTAACAGGTGTTAACCCAGTAGGTGTCAACTCAACGGGTATCAACCTGACAGGTGTAAATCAAAGCTGTGAAGAAGTTCATGTTGGCAATGAGAATCGGTTGAGACAAGGTACCAAATGTAACCCCACGTCACAAAATCCACCTGATGATATTACAGAACCACCAGGTAAAAATATTAATTCCATCAACCAACAAACCACCTTCCATCCACCTAAGTCACAAATTGAGGATCACAAGGATGCCACTTACCACCAAGAGCCTTCAAGCAACACAAAACTGGAGCAGACTAAAGCTGATGAAAACCAACAGAGCAGCTTGCCAGTGTTAACAAGAATGATTCATGTAAGGATAGATGCGATTATCTCTGTGCACTCTCATTGAACTGTGTCTGTAAAGATCTTCCACCAAAATACTACCAAAAATCCTTTGAAACCTCAACAAGTTGTGCTGTTCAGAATTTGGTTCTGTGATTTACTGATATATTACCGAAATGTCAAGAAATCCCATAGTTCTGCACTGGGGAATTGCACACATCTACACCGGGAATGGCCATTAAAATACAAATTTTGGAAACTGGGAGTATTTATACCCTTTTCACACTTAATTTCCAACAACTAGATTAGCAGTTCCCGATTATTTCTTCAAAAACCCCTTTTTTAGTGTCCTATAATATATATTTGTTGGCTACAGCATGATGTTTATTACCCTAACAGATTTTTTAAAATGTTTTATAAGAATTCATTACTAACAATCAACTTGCTTGTTTTCTGCAGACATAGCAAAAGACCCAGAAGCCCATCAACAACTATGTCATATGGTGCTAAATTCTGTGACTGGTGATGAACAATCCGACTGCAAAGCTTTCCCGGAGGCAAGTGAATATATGGGAGATGCATCTACTCCGAATGATGAGAATAGTAAATCAGACTGCAACTACCAACTGAGCAATCAGCAGTGGCAAGGCAATTCTACACATTCAAGTGATATCGCTGCTATGTAGGTTTAGTTGTCCAGATTTTCGAATTTTCTTTGGCAAAATACTGTTTGTATGCCCATATATAGCATGGATCCTATATATGGTCATATGATGTCATCATGACCATATTTAGGCATGTGTCATGTTTTTGTCCAATAAAATTTGAAAGTCTGGACAGGGTTTAAGATTAAAAATTTGTACATACAGAAAATTTGCATTTTCATACAAATGATTTATGCTTTGTTGATTAAAAATACCTTTAATTACTAAAATCCATTCATTAAAAATTAAATAAAACTTTTAAAAAATTTAAAAAAAAAACAACAAATTGATTAAAAAAATATGAAACAGCCATTTTTTATGAGTAGGCTTGTGTGTTTAAAACTTAAAATGTTTGAAATGTTACAACTGTTTACAGATGTTAGAATAATTTGTGGCCAAAGATGTATATGCCCAAACAATATTCTTTTTGTATATAATACATTTTAAAAGATGTTTTAAAGTTATCAGTTATTACACTAGTACAATTTTTTATACTAAAATGTTTTATTTTTAATGATACGACAGAAATAATATGATTGATATTTATTCTTGAAACTTTTTCGATTTGATAACATTAAATAATTGGTTTACCTATTTTATACTAAAATATTATTTTTTAAGTATAAAGAATAATTTACAGGTACCTCTATTTTACTGATAATCAACTAATGATGCTAAAAATACCATACTTCAATAACTAAGCACAAAAGATTAATTCAAATTTTCAACATTCTTGTTTTAATACTGGAAGTCTCTGGAGAACATTTGCTATACATGGGTTCACACACTGCTCATTATTACTACAACATATTGGGAACATAAGTCAAAACTTAAAAACAAACAATATTAGTAGCTTTTTTTTTATGAACATCAATGTCTGTTAGCTAGATTTATATGCAATGGATAAAAAACTAAATACTAATTTTTATAAGCAGGTACTGTTACCCGACCAAATGATCTTACAGAAATATTTGATAATTTCATTGTAATGGTGTTTATTTTATGAAAACATAGTTGATATGTACATAGGAACATCACATCTGAAGTGATATAAATCGATTGAATGAACATTATCTATAATTAAATCATTTATGAAATATTTTTTATGTTTAAACTACTTTTCTTGTCTTGGCAAAATACAATATCAAACTGATACCAAATTAATGCATTCAAACAGCAAGAAAAATTAGAAAATTGAATGTTAAGAAACAGATGAGGTACTATTATTAGAACCCCATTATATTTTGTGTTCTTAAGAAACAACGCCAATTTATATAGTGTTGAGAAATTGAGTTGACATCTGTGAAAAAGTATCCAAAATTCCTGTCACAACATTTTGGCACATAGGATTTTAGATACTTCAGAATGAAGTAATGATGTGATGTAACGATGATGATGAAGATTCTGATGATGACGAAGATTACAGTGATAATGATGATTACAAAATGATGATGATTACCATAAACAAATATCTGAACATTGTTAATCGCATAATTAATTAATACTGATGAGGAGGATGATTTAAAAATGCAATTGCCTTACATAATCTTTTTACAGGCTTATAAATCCTTATTCATTAAATATATGATACATAACACAGAAAATTATTAAATGAGTTATTTCTGAATTTTATGTGAGGCCCACAAAATACTTCCTATACCTAAAATATAACTAAGTTCGCTTGTTATGTTATTAATGGCATGTAGTCAATTTGACACAAATTTTACGATTAACAGCTAGCTAACTACAGTATTTTTTTATTTATATAAACGCTGACCCAACAAATAACTGTAATCTGAATACAACAATGGAATATAAATTTGGACGTTACACCACAAGACTGAACAATGCATAAATATAAAATTAATGGATAAATATGATACAATGTAGTCAAAAATGTGTGCTTAGTCACAGTTCCAAATATAAACAGTTAAATAACTTCAAAACACTGATTGTCTAGCTAAACAATCATGGTGGATATCTACCTACAATGGCATGTACATATATATTTCATTAAACTGGTTTCACTTACAAATAATTACAGTACTTTACTAAGCCCTCAAAATGTATGAAATCCTCAGCCTATTAAACAAAGTGGGTTCAACAAACATTAGTTTATTTCACATATTAATTCTTCTATAAGTTTTCTCAAATTCATATCTAGCATATGGCTTGTATTTTTTTTGTATTGGTACTACATTTCCACTTTCACATTAAAACAAAATTTAACATATGAATAAAGAGGAATAAACTTTAAAATATTAAAAATTTCAAGCCTTGAAATATTTCTAAATTTTACAATTCCAAATGTCGAAGTATTTAAAACCTTTGAACATTTCTAACCTTTAAATATTTTAAATCTTTACAGACTCTCAAACATTTAAAATCACATGACATACTTGCAACTATTATTAAAATTTTACTTTGCATCATAATGTTAAAATTTGGTTTTTTAAATGCTTTTTATTATTACCAATTATATTTACATTTGCCCTATATATCGTGTATGCACTAAGCGTGGGTTACGTGACAATAAATCCTTTGCAGCAGGAAATAATTTAGCAAAGAAAAAAAAAATGAAACACAAAACTAATACAATAAAAATATAATGTACTGAAAAATTATTAAAATACTGTACAGCTATATTTACAAGTTTTTCATATACTTTGTAATGGCTCTGCTTTTAAATTAATTTATGCAAGATAACAATATGAACTAGTGCAGTCACTCCATAGAGTGTATACCTCTGCCCTGTGCCTGGATACCACCAGCAATAAGAAGGTATGATGGGCAAAACTGCAACATACCCTCAAGAAAATACTGGAATCAAATTTTATGATCCATTCATAAGTTTTTGTGTAATCTTGCTAACACACGGACAGAGAGCAGTCAATACATAACCTCCCGTGGTGGAGGTAATAATAATTAAAACATGATTTTGAGAGAAATATTTGGGTTTTTTTTAATTTATAAAAAATGATAACTTAAGAAATCACATCTTTGTTATTTGCATCAAAAAAATATTGTTTTGCACCTCACAATAAATACTCACATTAAGTAAGCGCAGAGGATTCTGCTTAGGACCAAATCCTGATTTCTCAATTTCTTTTTTGTTAGTCATCTTTGATTTAATTGGACTGTCCAAGTAAATTATTTTATAAGGTTTTGAAAATTTTTCAAACATTAATAAAAACATACAATCATTACAGATAGTATTTCATAATGGTAAATGTTATCTATATAGCAAGTTGTATATGATAAATATTTGTAATAACAAAATAATAATTAAAATATGAGGCTGTCCCTTCAAAATTAAATAGATAAAGATTATTATTTATTTATATTTGTTTATTTGTACTTCTCATACAAAAATCTTTTAAGTTTTATTAAAATTTGCCATCAATACAATTAAAAAACATATCCTGTACTGTATGCCTACTTTTATATTGTAATATACTTGATTGTTACATCTTATCGTCTCATTTTTACACAGCATGATATAGCAAAGCTGTAATAAATATTGCAGCCCAGTTTTTAAGCATTTTTCCACTTAATGATTCTTTAAAGCATTATTTCATAGAGAATGCCATACATTTCTCCATGAAAAACCAATCCATGGAGAATCAGCATCCTGACAGTTTTATGCATATGCCATATATGTAAAATTCAGCTATATAACATTTGCTCATCTATGAAGAAATGCCATTTCATTAGGCCTATTGTTGCTTTCTGCCTGTTCATTTGCATAGTAAAGTTTCACTTGTTCTTAAAGCAATAAACACACAGATAAACATGGTAGGAAAATGGCTTCAATTTTCTTACTTCTTTTAGAAATTATTTGTTTATATACAGAATATATCACAATTAAAATTAGGAGTAATTGTCAGCCTCATTATCTTATCATTGACATCAACTTGTGGCAATATCTTGCTGATACATTCTTTTATACATTCATCATTATATATTATTGTAATATGTACTGCCATAAATAGTCTTTGGCAAATTTAAATATGCTTTGCAAACAACAATCCTCTCCCAATTATATACTCCTCATACAGTGTATATATTCCTTGCATTACCGCATCTTACCCTTATACCTATCTACACATTTTATTTGCTGAAGTTCCCCTCTTTTGCCTTCAGTATATTGCGCTACTAGATAAGATATATATCGCTTTAATTGTTTTGCAGTTCCTCGCTGCTCCTGCAACTCGGTTGCAGAGAAGCTGTACCAACGGCAGCCGAAATATCCCTTTAAAGTTAATGGTACATACACTGCTGTTCCAGTGCATAACACAATTTCCATCACGCAAATTCAGAGTGCTTCACAAATCATTTTATCATTTCCTTTGCAAACCGAAAAACAGCACCATCTAAATCAATAATAATTCTTGCTGACTTTAAATATGACTCCTTGAGTTTGCCAGGTCCTTCCATCTTTCACCAAAGTGACAACAGCACATAGGTCCATTAGGCTCACAGAGAAATCAGTATTCTGGCATTGTCTTTCAAATTCCAAACTTTACAAACTTAAAGCCAAAGGTATTTACAAGGAGGTACTTAAAAGATGATGGTAAAGAATAGCTTACAATAAAAATAGAATCTGTGATCACTCTTCGTATGTACAGATGGGTATAAATTCTGAAAAATAAATAATCAGATATTTTACGATCAATTTGGATACTAACCACAGCAAATATTAAAATAGGAAAATGAAGGAGATAGGCAGAAAGAGAGGGAGAAGAAGGGAGGAACAAAGCTAGGAATGCAAATAGGAAGAGGGGCAGAAAAAATGGAAAATTGAGAAAGTTGAACAAAAAAGAATAAAATAATTATTGAAGGAGGCAGTGAAGGCAGAAGGAAAGAAGGAAGGGCAAGGATGAGGAAAATAAGGGAGAAGAAAGGCATGGAAGAAGAGGATGAAGAAATGACTGGTGGAAAAGAGGGAAGGTAAGAGGGAGGAACATGAAAAATCTGTTGGTTTGTCGTATACTGTACCTGTATTCACTATCTTCTTCCCGGGAAACATCCTTTAATCGGTAAGCCATCAAGACCCTAGATAAAAGGTAATAATTAATGGCATTAACTAAGTAGCCAACCAATCAAAATGCAGTTTTAATTGATCACTCATTGTGTAAGCCTACATTCTCAAGCCTATCTAGCAATAATTTGCATAGTTATAGCTGTGATAAGGCATTCTTACCACAGGACAAGGAGCATCTAAGCCTGGAACGCCAGCATTTCCTTTCGCTCCTTTCATGCCCTTCTTACCCCTTCGACCTTTATCTCCCTGTGAATAAGGAAAGAAAATGTTTATTGTGAAACTTGTTAGTGTTTTGAGATAGCTACTGAATTTAATGTTCCTTTTAATTAACAACAATGACAACATTAAATTAGAAGTAATGAATGGTCTGAAAACAGATAACAAAGGTTTCAGGAAAGCTGGCATAAAACTTAAAATTAGTTAATTTTAATAAACGAAAAATATAGTACATAACAGCAGTAAATGTTCCAATAAATGGGAAAAAGTATGCATGTATGTAGAATACAAATATAATAAAGAAATTTTAAATTTGGCTGTAAAGTTCTTTATATTTGCATTACTTACTTTTTGGCCATCCATACCAGGAGTGCCCTGAAAAAAACAAAGAGAAAATAATGTTCCATGAAGGTTTTTACACACCCACACACCTATCAGCATGCAAGCACATTTGCAGTACATTCCTATTCCTATTAAACATGCAAACATTCCACCCAGATGCATACTCGCATGGATAAACTTTGCACAGACATCAATATCTTCAAACACACTTGAATGCACAAAATGTGTGAATTTGAATGTTTCTGAATATTGTGTTTATTTCTTCTAGGCTTTAATTTTCATCAATTATTATTATTTTTCTTTTCAAAGTCTCTCCAACTTGCCCAGTGTTGTTTAAGTCACATTTCTCTTTAAAAAAAAGGATTAGTTTTAAACTTCCTTGGTGTTAGTATGTAAAACTGAAACTATATTGAGAACTGTATTATAATAACAGGCTTAAAGTGATTCAGGCTTTCACATTTTTAGTACTTCTGTTTTTTTTATCAATTTAATTTGTATTTTTATGTATTACTACAGTTTATTTTGGCTTTGTGTAAAATAAACATGAGCACACTCACATGCCCACATCTCCCATCAACATACACCACTCATTTTTAAATTCATGCATAATTTTTTAAGAACTATTCTAAATTATAATAACCTCAATTATAATAACCTGCATTTATAGACTAATTAGATATTTATAGAATACAGAACCAGAAAGAATACATGCTTAAGAGACATTTTAATGTGCTAAATTGTTAGATTTTATCAAGAAGCGCTAAGATTCTTTCCATAAATTAAGTCTAAATCACATGCACTATGTTGGATAAATCAGAATTATGGGATTGATTAAGCATTATGGGTAGACATGCAAATGAGTTTGAGTAGCAGTGGTATTCAGCTGCTTACCGGTTTGCCTACATAACCGTTTGACCCCTGTTAAAACAAAATAAATTCTTACTAAATGACTGAAACTTATGAGAACATAATGCTTGCACTTAAGCCTTTATTATTCTTTTACAAATCCATTAATTACAATTATCACTATTGGCCAGGTATGGTGTGCCTCAAATTGTATTTAAATTATATAGGTTTTGCCATGTTTATAGGTTTTGCCATGTTTATGTTGTATTACGCATCTTTCGTTGTTGTTAAGAGCATTGATGCTTTTGCAGAATGCACTACATAAGAGTGGCATTAATATTTTTATTACAACCGTAGGACACTCTACATACAATATACATTCTTGTATTTTTAAAGTGTGAATTTGACAATATTCATCAACTTTTAACCAAAAATCAGATAATTACCACTACGAAAGTTTAAACAAATCTCTTATGTTTTTCACAACCATGTGGTTCCGTGTGGTGTTTAGTAGGATCATTTATATCAAATGTTTATTATTTTAAAATTATATATTTAAGGACGGTAGCCCATTCAGCAAAGCTGGATGTAAGTATGTAATGTAATGTATGCAAATGTAGCCTACCTTTGCTCCTTTGACACCATTAACACCAGGCTGTCCAGCAGGACCTGATGGACCAGGTGGTCCCATCAATCCCTATCAATTTAAACATATTAATATTATTGATCAACCATCAATTAATTAATTACAATTTAGTTTTTCACTACCTAACGCTTCAAAGCAATAAAATATTTTTTTTAAAGATTAAAACTTGTGCATAATAACTCTTCAATGTTTCTTCCACACTCATAGTTAGTTCCATGATGATTTGTTTTTTATTTTTTATTTTTTGCTGTAACTTTGAGCTTCAGGGGCTCTCTTAAATAAATATAATAATGTGATGCTCATTATTAGGATTATGGAGTTGAGATGTTTTTGGTCATGAGAAAAATGGTTGTGCTGACATAGGATTTGAACCCAGGACCCTGGAATTTGGAAGGCAAGCACCTTCACAACCAAGTTACACCTTCTATTATAAAACATAAAACTTATGATTTGCACAGAAGCTGTAGCATTTGCAAGGGCAAAATCCAATCCACTTCCTAAGCTTCATAACAAGACTTGCGCCCGTATTCTACAAAGAAACTTAAGTTGAACTTCAAACTAGAACTTCATTTAGTCTTAGTTGCAACTTCAACTTGTATTCACAAACAACGTAGTCGAGGTTTGGTACAGCCACGAGATCGCTCTTTGCCATCGGGAATCAGTAAATATTGCGCCCTCTCTGGCACTATTAAGTGGTCTTTTTCCTGTCGTCTTTTAGAAAACAGTGTGATTTTGGTAAATGGTGCTTCTAGTCCATAAGAATTTTCAGTAAAATAGGTAGCGCAAGTGTCTGATGTCTTGAAGTGGCTGCGGCAGCCCCATTTGGTTGGTATGCAAGAGAGCTCCACAGGATGTGTGTCCTGTTCAAGGCAGTGTAACCAAGGAGGTATATACCTCCTTGGTGCAACTAATTCTGGGCACTCATTGCGTCGTACGAGTCGTATGACTGTCGCACAACGAATCTAACTCCGCTCCCTGTGAATAATAGACAATGCAACGCCATCTGCTAATTGTCAGTAGCAGTCTGAATGGATCGTCATTAAAAACGATCCATTGCGCGCACATCATCTCGTTGAGTTCTTCATAGAATCGCATCGGCCGACAACCGTTGTGCGGAGCAAGTGCCCGGCTTATATGTTCACTATTGGCAAATCTTGGCCCACGTGACTTTAAATTAATAAATAAATATCCTTACCGTCTTTCCTGGTGCCCCATCTTTGCCCTGAAATCCCTGTAAGCCAGTGTTCCCTATCAATCCCTGTAAGAGAATTACAACTTGTAAACTTATCTCAACATTAAATTTTATTTCTAATCAGACTGTTTTCTATTCAAATGGAAGGATATTACAAAATTAAATAGTTTGATTCCTACAGGAGATCATATTTGTCTTGCTCCATTTTAGTATCATTTTTATTCATATAAAATTATTAACCTATTAAAATCATTACATTCACCAACATTTATAAAATATAGTACAATATGATATAATCCCTCCTTTTAAGAGATACTCCTTCCATTGGAAAAATAAAATTTTCCAGATTTTTTTTTTCAATGCAGACTCTCATAACCAAACTCAATATATTGAATGTTTACCTTATCTCCTTTTGGACCAATACTGCCCCTTTCACCCTTTTCTCCAATTCCCTAAAGAAAATAATAAAGGATAATGTTTATATATATGTTTCCATATGTTTAACTATATTATATTTATCTAATTATTGTGACAAACTATTTACAAACAAAATATGACAACTATTTACCCTCCAAGAATTCTGAATAGCCATTGTAACTACAAGAATTTCAAATGATTCAGTATTATAATTATTCATATTTATTTTAATTATTAATATATTTTAATTATTAACATATATTTTTTAGTTTTATGACTTGCAATATACTGAAATTGAGGAGCTCATAAACTAAAAAAAATTAATTCAATATTTGAATTGATTCATTTATTTATTTACTTAAGCAAGTCATCAGCTGTCAATTTCAATTATTTTCTTTGACATTTAGCAGATATATTAGCATTGTTTTATATCATTTTCATTAAACTCTTAAATTGGCTGTAATCAATTTAAAGGATTTTCGTAGTAAGAACTTTGTAAATTAGCAAAACCTGGCTCATTTCAATATCTGACTCAATAGATCCTTGAAAACTAATTTTATCTTTTTATCATTCAATGTTTTAAATGAATACTTTAGGTATAGTACAGTATCATTAATATAAAAATAAATTAAATTTGAATGGTGTAAGCTATGCATCTTACCTGAGGACCGACAGGGCCAGGGTTACCTTGATCTCCTTTGGGACCTGGTGGACCCTGTAAAAGATGAATCATATTATGTTAGTCTTGCACTCATTGTGAAGTTAATCAATATACATTTTTTTTTTCATATCAAAGGATCGATATCTTGTGAATGTTGACAATTTTTTTGCCTTATGTTTTCTAGATGCAAAGCACTTAAGTTTTCCTTTTTTTTCCACTTAAGTTTCAGCTTAACTGCAATTTTGAGTCCTTTTCAAAATCCATTTCTTAGTTGCTGTCTGATTAATTGTACTTATTTTCTATTGTGCTGTCTTTTGTCTCTGTTTTTACATGCGTGTGCAAAGGAGCCTTAGCTTCATGGACGCAAGTCCCTTTTTCCTTTGTACACTCTCAAACTTGAGAGAAACTTAGCAATTGGGTTATTGTTAATTGTAAAAATTGTTCTTAGAAATACCAGGATTTGAACCCAGGACACTAGGATTGGCAAGGTGGGCATTTTAATCACCAATCTACAGATTCATCAACATACCCTCTATAGCAGTAAAAATATAAAAAATAACAAGACACTTTCTTCTATGTTTATGGAATGCAGTTGCTTTACTTTCCCTTATGGTTCAATAAATGTAAGTATATAAGCTGGAAAAATGTGAAATGCAACTAGAATCAAAAGTTGAAAGATCTCATGATGTTAACTTACGGGTGTTCCAGGCGGACCTCTTGGACCAGGAATCTGTTTAAAAAAAACACAAAATTAAATGCATAACAATTTATAAATTATAATTCTGAAATACAATTTTTTTTTATTATTTTATCTTCTAGTCTTCAATACATAAGAAATATGGAGCGACTATACCGTGGAGTGCAGACATTACATCCTATGTGGTGCTCATTGTAGCATGCTAGTGAGCAAAATGCAAGGAACTTACAAAATACACATACAATATCTTTTTATTGACTAACAATCAACATTTCATTCTTTATTCATTTTTTTATTTAAACAATCCTTGCAACTATATATTTTTAGAAAATATAAATGTAGATAAATTTAATTTGGTTTTATTATGCATTTTTAGTTGTTTTTTTATTGTATTTATATATTTTTTTTGTTTCTTTTGGATGAGTTTGTCACTTCTGCTACCGTAATATCGAAAGAAATGAATGTTCGGCGGTACCTAAGAATGTTATGATGTAAGAGTAACCTCTAATAAATAAAATTAATAAATCAATATAAGTTTGGATGAACCATTTTTTATTACTCAATTTTATTACAGTTGTTGCAATTTCAATAGTGATTCGCATCTGAATTATATTTTTATTTTTAAATAAATAAATAATTAATAACAATAATAATAATTTTTTAATAATGTTTCTCAGTGTAAAATCATTACCGCCACCATGGAGGTTATGTATTCAACGCTGCTTGTCTCTTTGTGTTTGTTAGCAGGATTATGTAAATACTAATAAAATAAATTAAATTTAAAGACCATTTATTAGAATTTTATCATGTTGAATAAAATTATTTTTATTGTTTTGCCAAGTGTTCTGTGTGAGGACCACCAATGGAAATAAGTTTAAACTTTTTGGTTTTACCCTCGGAATTCTGTTTTATCATGTTTTTTTTATTGTATTGCTGTATATTTGTATGAGTGTACATATAAAATCAATCAATCAATCAATCAATAACAAATGGATCACAATTTAGTTGAGCACAACGTATTGGTTAAACTGGGTTTTGTCTTAGGCAGTGAAAAGTATTAAAAATATATCTATTTTGGCACCAGTGGCGTTCCATATTACTTATTTGCATGGCATTCCATACTATACTTTTTCTGGGATCTAATTCGCATCCAAACTCAACAACATAACATGAATCTCAACATAAACCGATGCTGGGGTCGCTCTCTGAAATTAACTAATACTAGGAAAAATCAATAAATTAGAGACTAGTGGTAAGTCTATATATTGGTCTAAGGAAAAGGTGATTCAGTTATGCAGCTATATTTTATATTTATATTATACAGGATATAATCATTATCCAAGCATATTAAAAATATTTGCTTATTATCAATATCACTAATACTTCTTATTTTAGTTTTATAATTCAGCAGATTTGAATGGATGGACGGAGGGATGAATGACTTGACTGAACAAAGTGCATGACAGTTTATAATGAAAATCATGAGAAAGAAAATATTTAACAAAGTGCACATTTCCAGCAAGTCACATTGCAAATGCAAAAAAAAATGTTAACTGTAACAATTGAAGTGTGAATCATCATATTACTTTTAATACATTTAATGAACAAATAAGTATTACATTAACAGTGAAATAAATTAATTTTATGGATTAGCTTTGAGCATTCATTTTCTGGTAAAGTTTCTGGCTTTACTCTTAAGCACCTTAAGCATTTTTTAAAGTAGATATGTGCACTATATAAATTATATTTACTATTAATTATAAGAGAACTTATAAGTTGTACATTTTACTATTTTACTACTAAAATTTGATTTGTTTACTCAATCAAATCATCAAAACACACTGTTGATGCCCAATTATGATTAAACATTCTGTTAACTTTTTTAATCTGTTTAAGACATAGAAGCTCTTCATAATAATGATCCTAAAATAGAATTACCATATTAATATTATTAAATATTACATATTTTACCTTAGATAAATGAAAGGAATAGCTAGACTTTCATTTATGTATTGCAATATAAACAACAAATAATGATGGTATAAGCATGATGAATAATTCATAAGTGCAAATGGAAGCGAAAAAAATGATCACATTATTTACTTTATATATGTATGTTTTTACATATATGCATTTTGATTTGAAATTCTTTCAAACATTTAATGTATAACCCTTAACCTGTTGTCATTCAATAATTACAAAATGTTTACATTGTCAGTAGTATGCATGCATGCTGTCAACGAAGTGATTTTGATGATCAGATGAAAATGATTTTGATAGATCTGCATCATCACTGAACAATTATTGAAGAAAATTAGAGTGAAATGTATTCACACATATCCATGAAAACTACTTACTTCCTTTCCACTAGACGTCACAATTTCTCCCTAGAAGAATTTGAACACAACAAGCATAGTAGTGAAACAAATATCTGTTGCATGCACAAATCTAAACAAATTCTATCTTTCAAATTCTCAATGGAATGAAATTTATGAATTAAACAAACATTTAAACAGTGTACTGAAAAATACAGTATATGATGAAACTTTTATTGGTAGAATACATAACACATTGGACAAAAGAATAAATACAAGTGATGAACTATATGATGCAATCTATATTTCAAATCCAAAAATTCTATTTTATATATTATAATGCAGAAAAGATCAAAATATGAGTGAGATTTATTTATTGATAGAAGAAAGTTCTGTTTGTGTAGCAGTAATAAACTCTTGTGGACAACGTAAATTTGTAAATTTAAATTACTGAATTTTGCTAAAATTTATTATATTTCCTTCAGTGATTCACAGCAAATCAGTGAGTTAACAACAAGTTATGAATGGCCCAAAATTGATAGATATCACCAAATATTGACAAGGCCTGTAAAGAGCTATATATCCCAGTACGGAATACCATATACTTGATAATCCAAGACTTTTATATACCTTGTTTCGCGAATCTGCAATGTTGTACAACACATCAACATATTTTTTTTTATAAAACAGTATTTTAATTTTCTCCCTCACCTAGAAGACGGAAGAATAGGTCAATTCATAGTTTGAAGTGCGCGTGACAGTATCCAAAATCAACTGACATAAACCTATGTTGTGTGTATGTTTATGTCGACTGATCTTGATAAGGGCATACGCAGTTTAAACTACAAATTTCCTTATTCTTCTGCTAAATCTCCACCATCCTCTAAAGATATATTGAACAGTTCACTGAAAAAGGTATGGCAAAGTCAATCCTATAAGTATTTCTTGTCCCCAAATTGTGCCTATAGCATGCATGTGCAGAACATTCTTCAGTGTGATTTTAATTGAAGTCGAGCAAATGCAGTGCACTCATTGTCACTGTATTCTACATCATGCTTAAGAGAATGTCTCACTGCAGAGCCTTCTCTAGAGGGAGCCCTTTTCTCCCCTCTCACTGTCTAAGGTGATTATCTTGCATGTGTGGATAAACTAATAATAAGTAGAATACAAAAAAAGAATATTATATATGGCTTACCGTGAGACCTTTTGGTCCAATGTCACCTTTTTCACCCTACAGAAAAGAGAGATTTGTATTAAAGGTTCAAAGGAATACTGTATAAGACCAATCACAATAAAACATTCATTTAAAGATAACAATGAATTACTCATTTACAGGTTCAAATAAATCTTGAGTTCGGGCTTGAGCTACCAGAAGACACAAACCAGAAGCATATTCCACATTACCGTCATGGTTCTCAGCATTCGTGAGCAAGCAAAAATATCCTGCAAACCCATCTCCCAAAATATTCAGTATGTTTTTTAGTATTGTAAATATTTAGTATATTATAAAACATGGTCTCCATGAAGTCAACTGGCAATTGACAGGGCTGGAAAAAGTGTACAACCGCACGACCAGCGTTCGGAGGCAACATGTTCAAGAGGCATTTTGGTTTTAAAAATTCCAAAAATTAAAATGTTATGGGTTATATATTGTACAGATATCATTTGTGCTAGAAGCATTTTATCAAGACAACTTTCATGGTCAGAGGCACAAACATTTTTTTTTCCTACACAACACAATAAGAAGAGTTTAGAAAACTCATTAAATTAAATCTTCCTAAACTCAAGTCGCTTTTTTCTAGCAAATTCAGATTTTTTTTTGTAGATTTGGAGATGTTCTTACCGGCTTTCCTGAAGGTCCTTGGATGCCTTGTGCTCCTGGAAGACCTGGTAATCCCTATTGGAAATACATTCAATATATATAAAATAATCAATTAAAAGTAAATTTCAATAATGACAATGAGAAATACAAATATGATGGAAAGGTAAACATTTTAAAATTCTTTAAAAATGGTTTCTGCTGATGATATCATAAATAGATGATTCTGGGATAAACATGCATTGATCAAAATCACTTACCGAATCCCCTTTTATGCCTTTAAATCCTATTCCTGGGAGTCCAACTTCACCTGGCTTTCCTGGGCTGCCAGGTAATCCTGGTTCACCTTTATCACCTGCATCTCCCTACATAAATCAAATAATTTAACATTTATTGAGAAATGGAGGCTGTGGTTTGCTGGTTCGTAGGCTTGCCTTATTATCTAAGAATTTCTGGTTCCAATCCTTAAAACATCAGGATTTGTTTTCATGAGCACAAAAAAGCACCAGTGGGTGGGGCCGACAGTCCAGCCCCCCCCCCCATTTTATTCGTTAAGCGCTGCTTTTGAATATGCGCCACGGCTCTTAATCGAGAGTATAATTATATTACGCTGTGTTGTGTGTAGAAACACTTTGAGAAACAGGGTTTTAAATGACACAATGTTAAAATGAACAAATAATACAATGAAGACAAGCATTTCTTTATAAACGTTTATTTATGATGATAAGACATGATAGACTAAGGGAATAGGTGAAATAGGTAACATGGGAACGGGCATGGAAAACGCCTCCCAATTTGTTTTAATAAGCACCCCTCTCGAATAAGCGCCGTTCTAAATAAGCGCCACACTAAAGCCTCCAAAAATTGTATAAGCGCTGCGGCGCTTATTCAAGCATTTACGGTAATCATTACATCAGAACATTCAACTCACTCTGTATTATCTACCGCCCCCATAGTTCATCAGCACACTCAGCAACATTTAAAAAGTGCTGAGAAATGGACATTCAAATCCCTATAGCCACAGCCAAAAGAGTTAAACTATGCTACACGAGTTCAATCACCTAGTAAAAACGTCTCAGTTTAATCACCTAGTAAAAACATGTCTCAGCTCTCCTAAAGCTATCTATATTTTGGTCACATTGTCAAGCTTTATGTGGCAAACATATAGTTTGCCTTTATATGCACATGATGATGTCATATCATTTCCATATATGGGCATGATGTCATATAACATCTATATACTGTATGGGCATGTCATATGTATATGGTTCTTAGGCAAGGCCCCCGAAGGTACTTCCACATACCCGTCTTCCTCTTCGGCCCATTTGACCTGGTCCACCTGAATGACCTGGTGATCCCCTTCCACCCTAAGGCAGTTAAAAATGAAACATTAGCAATTGCCAGAGACAGCCCCAAGTTCATTTAATAATCTTTCAGATTATTATAACTTTAAAGAAAAATAAAAATTTAAAAGATACCATTAATCCATAATATTTTGTCATTGTACAACAAATTATACAAGGTCAAAATATAATTCTTCTGAGAAATAATTTACAAATTACAAGTCCAATTATGGGAATAAGTCAATTAATAATTTACTAAGGTCTGACTCTGGCAAAAATGAAAATAAGAAAATGAAATATGAAAAATCTGAACATGTTGAGGTTTTTCATGCTGAGGTGCAAGCTGATTCTAATATTTTATGATGACATTTTGAGTATGTACAGTGTGTGTGCTACATGCAAAAAAAAAATTATTCATCAATAAAATTATTATATATAAATGAAAAATAATAGAAAAACAAAATTTAGATTAATTCTAAGAAATGGATATACTAATTATAGCTTTGCTGTCAGTGTATGCATATATTGTACATGCATTTGCACAAGGATTGATCAGTGTAAAATACATGAGTGGTGCTATAGTATAGTGGTTAAGATGCTTGCTTTCTAGTCCCAGGGTTGTGTGTTCAAATCCTTTTACTCCCACAATAGAACTCCACTCCCTAAGTCTAATAATATGACTAGAGTAGGACTATCATTCCTATCCTGTAAGTGGCATTTTTATAAAGAGCCATGATGTATTTTAACCCTGCATCACAGTCATCTATGAAGCCTATTAAATATACCTAATGCCTAGGTGCAATCGCACCACATCCCCACAAACTTCACCAAAATTATGCTTAGTGTTATACTCAATAAACTATTGTGGTACTGTCTTATAAAACATTGTGTGCTATAATATCATTCTATTATAATATACTATATTATATATAGTATATATAATATAAGTGCACATCTATGGTACTATGCAGAACTACAAGACCATGCTATAAAAAATTGGCATACATTAATACTAAATGGACAATATGGCATGGTCGAGACCCAAAGGCCATTGTCATCATCATCATCATCATCATATCATCAACAATAGTAGGTGGATTTGGAGATGACAAATTAATGTGGTCATCAAATATAGAAGCAGCAACAACTAAAAAAAACTAAAAATACATTGTTGTGCATCATACACAGGAAGATGAGCAGCTCCTCAACCTAACTACAATACGAAAGAGAGCTTCAAGTCAAGCATTTCACTATCATTTACAAAGTATTTAATTATTGGAAATACACCAAACCAATAATAATACTGATTAATTAAATGATAATGTAGGCTAGCATATCTTCTCCCATACTGTACTACATCTGTTACCATGTGTACTGCTATGCAAACCCAGCTCTATTAGAGGAGGAAGGCATTTCGTTGCTGGTGATGTGCAAAACAGCCAAGTGCACAACAGGCTTATTGCTTAAGCAAATTTCACAGGCAATACATTTCACTTCTAAGCATCATTGCATCATATAATTTATATATAAATTATGATTGAAAAATATTCCTTTTTGTAATTAAATAAATTCATGACATATAGCAAATAAAGTTATTTTGTTTAATATTAAATATCAAATACATTAATCCATGTTTTTTTTTTATTCATATGCAAGAAACATTATCTTAAAACAAAAATATTATTATTACTGGTAATTAAAATAAATAAAAGAACTGTACATTATATAATACAAATTTTGTTACCATATTAATAAGGAGATACATTTGTTATATAAGAGTTGGACATTATCTACTTCACTTACCTTTTGTCCTTCTCGCCCAGGTTCTCCAGGTACTCCAGGTGGTCCTGGTAAGCCCTTCAAAAAAAAATAATTCCATAATTTATATACCATAATCTATATGTTGCCCTCTAGTGGTTTACTGACTACAATTCCCAAGTGTTAATTTTCTTGAGATATAATGACAAGCATTACAGACTGGTAAAACTAACTAATGGAGGCCATGGTTAATTAGCGTGTGATGTAATTTGTTGCATAACAAGTGCTTACATACAAGGCCTGCAAAATGATAGCTATGACTTATGTAATCATTAACATTAATTAATCAAGTGCAAATTAGTGCACACTCACCTGATGTGAACTAATTAGTTCAGTGATTTGCTGATGAGAGGTGGAGGTTTAATGACAGTGATGTGGAAAAATAAATGGAAGCAAAAATGTTAGGTGAAGCATTTGATAAGTTTTAATACTAAATGTTATACAACTAGAAACTATTGTGCACATTATTTATCTTTAAAAAATCTATTCATGACTGATGTAAATGAAAGTATTTTAAATGAATAGCACAAAACCAATTTTTTTTTTTTTTTTTTTTTTATTCATTTAGGCACACAACACATGCACCAATGATTGTCAATAGCGAATATCGCTGTCCTATTTGTAGGTGACAATCTCTTGCACAAAACAAACACACAATTCTTTAAACAAACTAAATTTCAATATGTGGTTTAGAGAGTGAAGTTGTTTTGGCCATGAGAAAAAAAAACACCACAGACAGAAATTGAACCCAGGACCCTCGGATAGAAAGGCAAGCATCTTAAACACCAAACTATTTAACTCCACTCATATTAAGTGTGTCTCTTAATCTGTTCATGCAATCTGCCACATATCAAATAAATAAAAACGTACTGTAGGTAATCACATGCAAATTCAGTTTATTTACATTACATGTGCAAATTAGTGTAAATTATTGTCGCTTCTAATTTGTAAAAGACATACAATTATGTTTCATCAGATGATCAACAATTTGTTTATATATTTAGGTTAGTTGATCACGTTTTCAAAACTAAATTTTGTTGAATAAATAAAAAAAAAAACAAGCTATAAATGTGCAAGATGTCAAGGCTTACCTGATCTCCAGGAGGTCCTTGCTCACCCTGTAGGTTGAGACAACAAACAAATTAATTCATGGAAAAAAGACTATCATTAGAAAAAATGATGTTGAAGAGTATAGTATCAGAATTATAAACAGGTTGTATTCTTCGGTAATGAATTGTATTTCGAAAAAAAATTAAATGATAATACCATATAGAATTTTTGGCATTAATATAATTCATGATTGACTGATTAAATGTTTGATTGATTTGATTGAATAGTTGAATGCTTGAATGAAGATTGAATGACAGATTAAATGATGATTGACTGATTAAGGAACTGATTGTTTGATTGATAGAAATTTGCAAGAGAACCACATTAGTATGTTTTGTTTTAAGCCATCACAACAAAACAGATTATACAGCATGATTCTAGTATAGATACAAAATACATGGTTTATGCGGAAATATAATAAATAATTGCAAAATCAACTTGCACAAACAAATTCAAGTGCAATAATGTAAGCTTCAAGCTACTAGCAACTCAACAATTAATATTTTAAACTTCTGAATACAAAGTTTGAAAATAACATTTTGTTTAAAACCTTAACATGAAATTGAATAAAACCAACAATTTAATAATAAAGTTCTTTCCATCTAAAATATTATCATATTAAAAATCTATTTAAATCAGTGAAGAATAAAATTATTTTCATACTTCATTTTTAGATTTTAACAGTGTATCTTAAAAGTCCCATATCAAATATCATATTAAACACTGTGTTGAGTTCTTAGTGCTGCAAAATCATGCATGTGCAGGTGGTATGGTGATTATAATATGCAATATCATCAATCACTAAACCCTATGCCTACCTTCGGTCCAATCTCTCCAGGTCTTCCCACCTCCCCTGGTGAACCCACTTCCCCTTGTAATCCTGGCTCTCCTTGTAAACCAGGTTCCCCAGGCTGACCTTGCATTCCAGGTGGCCCCTGTGGGCCTACATCACCAGGAGATCCTTGCACTCCAGGTGTACCAATTAGTCCAGGTAAGCCTGGTTCCCCTGTTGCGCCTTGCGATCCTGTTTCTCCAGGTGGACCAGGTAATCCATCCTCTCCAGGTGGACCCAAATGCCCACGTGGACCCATTGGCCCAGGTGGACCTCCAGGCGGTGCTTGTTCTCCAGGTGGACCAACTTGCCCTTGTTCCCCTGGAGGTCCATGTTCCCCTGGTGGTCCTTGTGCCCCGGGTGAACCTGGATCACCAGGTAAGCCCTGAATACCAGGTAGGCCTTCACCTGGTGGTCCCATCTCTCCTTTCTCACCTGGTGGTCCCAACTCTCCTTTCTCACCTGGTGGTCCCATCTCTCCTTTCTCACCTGGTGTGCCTTGAACACCTGGTAGCCCTTCTCCTGGTGGTCCTTGTAGGCCTGGTTCGCCATTCATGCCAGGTTGGCCATCACTTCCTGAGAGGCCAGGGCTACCTATTGGACCAGGTTCCCCTTTTGGACCAGGTGCACCAGGAATACCATTTGGGCCAGTATTCCCAGGTGGGCCAGTGGGACCATCGGTTCCTGGCAGCCCTATACCTGGTAGACCCTGTAGGAAACGGTGCAATAAAGAGATAACACACATGCAGCAAATGAAGATGCTTATAGTTGCAAATGAAGCAAGCTAATGTGGCATCATGCTAATAACAACATACAACTACAGGTCTCCCTCCAATTAAAGATGGTCCTTAGCAGCTGTGGTCCTTATAAGAATTATAAAGACTTGTGAATTTGGGACCACTGAAAATGTCTTAAATTGGAGGTGGTCTTTAATCGGAGGAATCTTTAATTAGAAGGAGACCTAACATAAATTTCCAAAATCATAGAAATTGCAAAAACTTTAATTTATTTATTCATTTAAACTATATATGATAAGGTCTAAATATTTGCCATAAGTATAAATTTCATATTTTTTGATTGAAAGATAAAAAAAGGTCTTTAAAGAGCGTGAAGTATCTTAAGCAAGTGAATGTGCACAATATTTATCAAGGCATGATCGATAGATTCAAGCAAAATCACAGCATTAATATAAAAATCTTTCATTCATTTAAACATTGTAAGTGCATATATTAAGCAGCATTAGTAACGACAAAAACACATCTGGTTACAAGATAACAAATGGAAGGGCATAATGATAAATTTCAACACTTTGTCAACTTTCTTCTTCCACACACGAAAAACTATGATCATATGTCACGACCTTTCCAAATTTACAACGGAAGGATGTTTAATTAAATATATTTAATGAATCATTAATAATACAATCTGCATGGGAAATTTAATGGATGTATTGAGTAATCAACAAGCAGCATTTGGAGGACAATTAGTTCCAAAATTTTTTTTACAGCAGTAATCACCCTACATGTACTTGACACAAGGCACATGGCAGCACCATATATCCCTTGTTTTAGCCAGTTGATTCAAAAATTGAAAGGTTGTAACAGCAGATCTATAAATATGCTCTTTTGACAAAGATACACGTCAATAGCACTCCCTTGGCAAGGACGAAAGACTCCCTACAATCATGTTCATTACAACACCAGATATTTTAGTGTCATTAATTAATGCTACTTCTAAAACATCAAAGCATATCACTAATAATATAGTACCGTGTACATGCAATGATACTTCCAATATGGCTATAATAAAACAATAATCAAATATGCTTTCAAAATCATTACTCACTTCTTTTCCTTGTGGCCCTACTGGGCCTGGCTTCCCATTAATACCATTAGCTCCCTGTTAAATTGAATTACAAAAAAAAAAATGAACAATTAATAACTAATAATAAATTTTGTCTCAAACCACTTCTGAAATAAATGCATGGTATCAACACTTACCCTTGGTCCAGGGGCACCATCTGTTCCATTATGTCCTGGTTTTCCAGGGAAACCTGGTTTACCAATACCCATCTCTCCCTTTTGTCCAGGTGTGCCAGGCTCACCAGGTGTGCCGGGCTCGCCAGGTGTGCCGGGCTCGCCAGGTTCTCCCTTCAGTTGCTCCAGTGAATTGATCGAAAGAGAGCCAGGAGGACCCTGCATAGTAAACAGTAACATAAGTTAAATATTTACTACATAATTAGATGTTGCCTTTTATTTCATTTACTTTTATGAAATTGCAGTAACAACAGGGCCTTGTGATACACTGCTCCTCTATCACAAAAACAAATTATTTCTTTATTGCCATAAAAACATATATTACAATGGAGATGTTAAACTTTTATATAATTATTATTCCTTTTCTTTAAAACAAAATGATGTACAGTAGTTACCATAGGACCTTGTATTCCCTTGTCTCCTTTATCACCCTAAGCAAAAAAACAATATTAAAAAACAAAATGTAATGATAAACACAACTCTAAAATTAAAAGTGTTTTAAGTACAACAAAATCACATTATTTCATTTCATTTATTATTCCAGGCAATATACAAAACACCTGAGGATCACCTAAAAGTAAACTTAATTACTATCGAAAGGCTCTCCCAACAATAAAATTCACATAAAAAAATATATATATACGTAGTTAAAACTTACATATTAATTTAAAATAACCAGACAAATTTAATATAATTAAAATTTTTTACTGTTTTCTTTGGTCTCGGTGTTAATTGCCAATTTATATCGTTTAGAGACCAACCACGAGACCACCCCAAATTTTCAAGTCCCAAAGGTGGTCTGGAATTGGAGGGCGAACTGTATATTCATTCCTTCATACAGAAAAAAAATCTCAAATATTCTTTTAATAATGTTTTAGATTAGCAGATCAACTGACCGTTGGCCCTTTGGCACCAGGTTCTCCTTTAGCACCATCCTTCCCCTGAAAAATAAAAAATAACAATAACAATAATAATAATAATATAGATTTATTTTACCAATAAGACACAAAGTTACTTGTTAAATTGTTCATCAGACAGTATATATATAGTTAGTTAGTTATAGTTTTACTTCTCTTCACACATTAAACAACAATAAACAACCAGAATCTGAAGATTTTAAATGATGTCTGGCAGTAATGTCATATAACATCAATGTTTTGTTTCTGTATATCTGTACAGTATCCTTTAATTAATACAATCACTAGTTTGGTTGTCGCATAGGTGTATCAGGTTCATATCCAACTTTTTTTCTTTTTTTTTTTGCAAGTAACAAGATAATAGAGTTTTTATTTCATAAGAAACCAATTTGAAGTATCTCATGTTGTCATATTCTTTCATTAAGTTTTCTAATCTCTGATAATAGTTTGGAAACTTTGTTTCTTATACATCACCCCTTAAGAGCTTATTAAGATCAACATCATGACAAGTTAGTCCATTAGGGAAATAAGTTTACTAATAAGAAACGTCCTTTACAGCAAGCACAGAAGATAACTTTTGATAAGATTTAATATTAAAATTGACAACCAGTCTATTGAGGCTTCACACCACTTCACATCATTTATCTCTGCTGGGAGATTCTACCCACAATTCAAAATATTTTAATATGACATATCTGTGATTTGCCCATATATGGGTATGACACAATATCATCTTGCCCATATATGGATGTGATATGGCATTATCAGGCCCATAAATGGATGTGATATGACATCATGATGCCCATACATGGGCAATTTGTATAAATTTGGTGAATTAGACTATTGTCTGACAGATTTAAATTTAGATCAGATATATCTGAAACAAACCTACAATGGAGACCTATCTTGAGTGCCAATCAAACTTTTAACTGACCATTCAGAGCAGGGCAAAGAAAACAAGCATGTCCCACATACATACGTTTTTGTACGTTGACACTAATTTTGTGACAGAGCTTAGTGGAAAGTTCAATTAGAGTCTGATCAAATGTCTGCTGAATCTAAAGCCCTGTCCAGACTATCAATTTTTATTTAATAAATAATAAATATGGTCATGCCATCACACCATGACCATATATAGGCATTACATGGCTATATATGGGCATACAACAGCATAGTTACCAACCATCTCGCATCGTGCGGGAAGGTCCCGCATTTTAAAGTTATTTTGGATGAAACAAGCATGGATAACGAATTACCACAAATTCATAAGAAAATGTATTTAATATTAGAAGAAATTGGTGTTATTAATATATAAAAACAGTCATGCAGTAGCTTGAGTCATTAGAGCTTTTGTTATCGCGTTCGAGAATCAATTTACAGAGAAAATTTCTCTTTCCCCACCAAAACAACCCAGCCAACCATGCACTTAGTAGAATCTAGTAGTCACGTGCGATCTTGTGCATTCCACTATCACAAGAAACCGTTTATAGGACTGGAACCCGGGCTTCCAGGGTCCGGCACTGACCCCAGGGGCCCTGGCGTGCACCCCCCCCCATTCCCACTCAACTGGTGTAGTCACGCATTTCATATCTCTCAGGTTAGTAACTATGCAACAGTGTGGACAGATCTTAACAAACACACATCTGATATCTGTTAGTGTATGCCCACTGCACATGGTAATTCAGGGACGGATTTAAGGGGGGGGGCACCTGTGACGCATTCCCCACCCCACCTTTTATCACAATTTTTTTTTTTTTTGAGATAATCGCGCAATGGATAGCTACAAAGAAAGGAGTAAAAGTAGGCATATCGCTTCTAAATAATAGATGCCTTTTTTTGTTGTAAGATGCCCTTCCTATTTTGGGAGGGGGACCCCTCCCAAACCCACCCCCCTCTAAAGCCCACCCCCTCGGTGCTTCATACCTCGGCTGGTTCCATCTTTACTTTGCGCCCCCTTCCCCTTTTGCTAAATCCTGTATCCGCCCCTGTAATTGGAGATCTTATAATATAAAGACATTTAAGTAGATCTATGGTCTATGAACATATGAAAACAAAAATTAAAAGAAATAATAAACATACTGGATTTCCAGTGACTCCAGTAGATCCAGGAAATCCTGCAGGACCCTAGAAAAGAACAGCAACATTAGCCAATCAGATATTGAAAAGGAAAACATAATTAGCCAATCAGCATTGACAATTGAAATGAATAGCATTACTAGCCAATCAGCAGCTCAACTTTATCAATGCAAGGCCAGAGAATTAGCAAGTACTACATTATGCTCAATTTCATCATACATGTGACATGTAGAGTTGTTTTTTTCATTTACTAAAGAAAGTCTCCTTAAAATATATTCTAAGTCAGCTTATGCTCAACGTGTTTCAATTTTTATTTCTGTCTAGTAATTTAATGATCATGATTTGTAAGAGGGACAGTTTAGATAAGCACACAACTTTATTTATGGTCCCTACTAATTGATATTTATAGACATTGTTGTTTGTGGCAATTTCAGTTTGAATTGAATAAAATTAACTATGTGTTGTCTTTCAAAAAGAAAACATGTTTTAATCAATTATTTATTGCTTGAAACAAAATAGATCATCAACATACCGGTTCGCCAATTGCACCCTGAAAATAAAAATAGAATAAGTAAAAATAATGAGAATTACAAATATTATTCTGCATACTGTATTATAAAAAGCAAATGAGGAATGAATTATTATGAAATTTATTGTTAAGACATTGGGTTGGAAATTTATCTTGCATTACAACAGCACATTGAACACAAATGATACAATCATTGACGTAAAAGCATCAGAGAATCAGCACAACTTTCATACACCACATTATTCAAGGTATAGGTAGGTAGACCATAGTTATAGTGGAGCTAAACCTACAATAGAGGGTAGGTTTATACCATGACATGACAGCATTTACAAACATTTCATGATCCCAAATTTATCATTGTGTGACATCAAATGTTTAACTTATATTAATCTTTATAAGATTCATTTTACTAGAACTGTAGGAATGAAAAGAAACAGAAAATATGAAAAGAAATTAACAGTAAATACAAAAGTAAAGATGATGGATAAAAGTAAATTGAAGATAAGAGCATTCATCGGAAGTGTATATTGAATGTCTGGAGGATGCACAAACCGGAAAACCAGGAAAGCCTCTGGATCCTTTAGGACCCTGGAAAAATAAGAAAAATTTCAATAATTAATCATAGAATATAAATAAATAATATAATATTATACAGTTAAAATTGAAGCTGTGTTAAAAGCAAAAAACAATAAATTAATTAATTGAATTGCTATACATTGAGTGAATAATTAACTTCTATGAGAAAATATTTTATTAGTCAATATCATTCTTATATACTTTGTAATAAACTTATGGATTTTATTTTAGTTTATTTTTTCTTCTCTGTTGTTGTTAAGCGCCTCGAGGTTGTGACAACGTGAGGCGCTATATAAATCAGAATTATTATTATTATTAGTAGTAGTATAAAGTGTATAAACCTGCATATTTCACAACATTCAGTATATTTTTAAGTAAATCAAAACACAACACTCAGAATTAATATTTAAAATATATTCAAAAAGATTCATTAGATTAAATTAGATTTGTAACAATAGCAATTAAATACATATATATATATATATATATATATTTTTTTTTGGACAGTAGCAGCTACTTACAATACTACCAGGCTCTCCAGGCGGGCCTGGAAGTCCTATGCATTGAACGGTCCTATTGCACTGTGCTTTCTATAAAAAAAAACATAATAAACAAAATTGTATACCTATTACAATAACTTTCTTAATCATTTAACCAAATAATTAATCAAAAATCTATAAATATTTGTTGGTACAGAGACTAAAAAATTGCAAAGTACAAATCAAATTGCATTTAATGATGTTTGTATGCAATGTGGGAAGAATGCCATCAGTTCCCTTTCTATGAACATTCTATCAACTTAACTTCCTGCAAGATTAATCCATCTGGAATAACCTTTTGACATTGTATTGGACTGGGACAGGAAAAACATTTGAACCATTTAGTAATTCTGTCTGGCTACCTTTGGCATGTAAGTACATCTCTGTAATTTGTAAAGAAATAACGAATAACAATTGGTAAGTAATGACTTTAGGGAAATAGGGAACGCATACCACTTTGTTAAATTTCTATTTTTATTTTCTTTTACATCTAATAGCAAGTGCTCATACCAATCGGTCTTTCCAAAGTTTCAAAGTCTCACCAATCATTATGTGTTACTCAATAGGTGGGAGGGGGTGAGAAGAGATAGGCCAGGAATACATGCATATCCCACAAACTAACAGGTTGGAATAACTCTCCATATCAATTTTTATTATGAGTTAGGGAGTGATGTCCCTTTTAGTCACAAGGAAAAAATCCTGTAAATGTGAGATTCAAATATGAAACCCTGGAATTTAAATTATGAATATTAATCACATAGCTACTGCTTTGATCCAAGCTAACGTTGCTGCCCAATATAGGCCACACTCTTGCTAGCATCCTTTGTAATGGTATGGATTACTGGTTACTTGCCTTCATAACACATTGTCCTAAGTTCAAATCCCAAAAGACACAAAGAACATAACCGCACTCCCAAGCCTCATAATGAGGCTATGAAACATTGAAGATACACTGCCATGAAAATACAGATCAATAATTTTTGTTTTAACTAATTTTTGATTTTGGAATGTGGAATGATTTGGAACCACATCAAATTTAAGGATTTATTTCTAGTGGGTTTGTTCTGGTAATGAATCGGGCAGTGAACCAGAACACATCTCCCTCCTTACGTTTTCTGAAGAGGTATGTTCTTTAACATGTACGAGGACCATAATTGAAAATTGTAACAGCAGCTTAAACATCTCATTCCAAAGACAGTGCACTATTGTAACTTGCACTTCAGCCCTTCAGTTGAAACACAAGGAGAGCACTGATGGAATTAAACAAGGGGCCAAAGTTCCTCGATTGGTGGAAATTTTTTTCTTGTTATAATTTCCAGTTGAAAGATAATAACTAATTGAAATACACTATACTATTTTTTCTGAATTAGTCCCATTAAGAATGAAGAAGACTAACATATCCTCATCACCCTGAAACAGCTTACAAACTTACTGGTGGGATGGATGGTAATATTTACTAACCAAAATTACAACCAAATCTACTAAACCCATCTTTCAATGATACTATATATGTGGCAAAGACAAGCCAAACCAGTCACTCATCGCAAAAATTGATTGAGTTATTAATACAGTGTTAGAGAGTAAAATGACAGCTATAAAATGGTAAAAAAATCATTCAAATCGGACATTTCCTTATGAAGTTACAAGCGTTTAACCACACAGCTGTTTAAAGAACAATATATGAGAAATCAGCCTTTAAAGTTTATGATTTCAGGCATTTCTCATGCAGAAACTATCTTTAAATCCTTAAAAAGTGTTGTTTTAACATTGAAAATGGGGAAAATAACAGCATAGAATGATGTGTAGATATATAAAGGTTAGTTTAGTGCAATAAAATAGATTTTTTAGAATTTGACATTCCAGCATGTTTTGGCCATTTTCTCTGAAACACGATTTGCCACGAGTGACTGGTTTGGCTTGTCTTTGCCACATATGTGAAGCATATAAGTGCCATAACAACAGTGACACAAGCTAATTAATTTAACATCACAAACTACTGTACATGTTGCCATGGTACTGTCCAATACAAAAGAAAATACACAGGGAAATCATATGAAAAACTTTATGATCCCAAAATCTGATCTCTTCCAGAAATCCCAGAAGAAACTGGGACCCATTTTCTTGGCATAAAAAATGTTTTTACACATATTTGCCATTTCCTCTCTTTCTACCCTTTCTCCCTCAATATCTGCCTCCTAACTGTCTGGTTCTTTCTCAAACATGATCTACTTCCTCCACCACTTTGAGCCTTAGCCGCTCAGACTCTCTGGCCCATTAATTATTTTTAATCCAATTAAATTGTTTTCTATGTATGTTCATATAATTTAATATTTATTTATCTATTAACACGAACTCCAAATTTGGTACTTAAAATAATAGCATTCATAAATCTTTCACACCTGATCGTTTATGGCATTTGTAAGCTGTTATTTCTGTTATGTATTCTACAGGAAAACAAGATTTGGCAGAAAATATAATTTCTAAAGTGATAAATTGGATTCCATGGTCATAAGCTGGCTGGTGTGCTATCACGAATATTTATCCTTTCCAACTTAGTTACATGAACATTAAAAACTTGACGATATGAAGAACCTGCATGGAAGCGATAGGATCTTCATATCATAATATTCTAACATATTTTTAGAGCAGTCTTGACAGCAAATGTCATTAGTGTCATTATGACTCAAAGTATAATAGGAAGGCAACAGGTTTTATTTTAGGATATTTTCTTCCGCAGTAGCAGATCTCCGTAGGGAAATCAAAGCACTTTATACAGAAGTCATGGAAAAGCACTCAAGGTTCTATGGATTTTTGAATATCATTTAGTCTACAGATTTTTTTAAATCATTTAGTGATATCTCACTTATTTTTACAAAAACTGACACTAACTTGATCCTTATGAAATTATAATTGGTATATAGAAAAAATGGTTTTCATGCTCATTTCCATTTCATTTCGATTTAACAGTGAATCATCCACACTATTGTCTGCTTAAAAGGACTTAACAACCCAATGATAATTAAACACCATAGATACAGCATTTAAAAAACTCCACCCTTCCCCTCCTTATAAATGCAGTGGCTACTGTGTGCTAAATCTGAGGGTAATGGACATTTAGTTGCACTATATTAATCACAATTTTATTTTTGGCCACAGACTCAAAATCATAAATTAAGCATAAATTAAACAATCCAACACCATAAAACATCAAAAATACTAAAGCAAATAGGAGATTCTCTCAATTCTACCACCAGGGCCCTTTGCTCCTCCTCCCCTGCAGTCTCCAGGGTAGTAGGACCCAAAGAAGCCTAAGCCAGGTGCCTTAGGCCTCTTCCTTACACCACTGTACAAATGCCACATAATCTGTTTTACATGCTTGAAAAAGGTTATTCAATGAGATGAAGATTGCACGGTTCTTACACAGGGATTTTCAAATTACCAGTGTAATAGGTTGTATGTAAAATCAGTGATCAATCAAATATCCAGGGGGAATGGTAATTAAATTAATTAAGAAAGGATTAGGAAACCTCCAATAACCACAGGGACAGTTAATGCACGAAGTGTGCAGAGATCAAGCGTTTCAAATATTAACTATTTTAGTCACATAGAAATGTGCTTTAGGTGAGGGACATTGATTTGGTAGGCTTCATGAGTAATAGGCCCCGTCCTTCATCAGTCTTGAATCTTCACGATCTCAGTCCTCAAAAAATCCTTATATGATGTGCTTCTTGGCTATTTATTCTTAACCGGATATCGCAATGATGATTAGTTGATCACGTTCAGGTCTTTAATTTTATTTTATCTAACATTAATCATGACAGTTTTTAATATAATGCTTCCATATATTAACATAATTAATTACTTACAAGTGAAGTGTTAACCAACTTTCTAGGGAATGGTTAAGCTACACCAACATGAATACTTTGGCACAAAACCAAAAAGCAGCATAGAAATAGTAGTAGCAGCCCACCTGTAGAATACCACTAGTTATAACAAGTGAGAAAGGGATTTTATGGTTTGGCTGAATCTTCTGCTAAATACTTTATACAATAACCAACAACTCTAATATTTGCAATTTTATTCCTACCAAAAGAATGTCTACCTAAACAATAAAAAGATATTAAATCTTCAACATATATACAAATATGGTACTGTAGGTAATAGCTCAGCATTTAACATAGTTACACGTGTTGCGCGAGTCCACTAAAACCTACCCTCAATTGTGTGTAATACAGCTATGCAGAATACTTCATCATCACCAAATAAAGAGCTTTAATGTTGAGCTTAATTAAAGTTCAGCAAAAATCAACCCACTGAGCATAAAAACCACAATTCACAATCAGTCAAATATTGAACTTCATGATGAATGATCCTGTCTCCTTTCCCTGCTAGGACTATTCTATTTATAGCAACAATGTCTGTGGTAACCATGGCAACTAGCCAGAGTCAGCAAGGGGTACATCAAGTTACATTTCAAACATGTCCATCATTTCCACAGAAATTATGAAGTTTCAGATTTTTTTTTCAAAATATGAGTTTAGCTGTTGACAACATACTATGAATCATGCCTATTATTTTACAGATGTTTGGAAGAAGTTAGGAGTTTATAGTTACCATGATACGAATGTACAGTAATAATAATTTCAAAATTGTTATTTTGTGCTAAGGATTGTAAAATAAATAAAATTGACAAAAATTTGTAACAGTTTCTTTCTGAAACTAACACTTGAGGTGGTACTAACCAGAATAACTGGCCTGTCTGTATCTTTAACTAACAAGCGTTTCAATAATCACTTTTTCCTTAACATTGCGTGCAGGAAAATTAATACGGATCCAGGCCAAATCAATTGTTTCCAATTAGTGTTTATGGGGAATAATTAGTGTTACTGTCAACAGAACCATATCCCTAAATGTACCAAGGGAATCAATCATTCCCGATTCTTCACTTGAAAGTTCCTGCGTGGTGTCTCCAGGGATGCAACTGCCTCCTGGTGGCAGCAAGTCACCCTCTGATTCACATATTGGCAAAGTTCTTGGGCAGACAGAAAGTTGCACGACAAGAAAAACTTGTCAGTTGCGAGAAACAATGCAAATTATAAGTGAAACATTGAGCCGACATCCTGACCTCCAAGCATGTTGAAAAGTCTTCTGGACACGTCCGTGTCAAATTGTTAGAAACTATGTAGCATTGCGAGCTAACACTAATTATATATGATATTACATCAAAGAACTGTGAAGCTTTTGTGAAATACATTGCATTAAAAAGAAAAAATACCACTAACGTAATCAAGAGTTTATTTATTCCAAGTACTTTAAATTTATTATTAATATGATTAAAGATTCACAAAATAAATTTTGGCTTCATTCATTATCTTGAGCTCTTCTATGAAAGGGGTTATGTGTATAGACCCAACTATATAAATTGTTTAAACCAGAACCCTCCCCCTTTTGATACAGGGGAGGGGGTAAAATTCAGATGATGAAATCTGTCATATTCAATGAAAGATATACTGTACATGATGCATGTCTAAATACCATCTTGGGAATTAGTTGAAGTAAACCATGATCATTGATAGGAGACACGGACTGATACAGGGGGACTTGATCTCTGACAAAACAGAAATATTTTACACCAGCTGGGTGCAACTCAGCATGACTTAAGTCATATTTAATTTATAAACTAAGTTAACGATATAAAGTTAATGTATTTTAAATTTCAGACATGAACTTGATATTTTTTGTTATTTTGTTTCTTATCTGGCTTTTAATTTTTGAGGTATTTTTCAAATTTTTTTGGCATACAACATATTTTAACTTACGTCAGAGATTAAACAACATCTGTCTCTTATACACATCTAGATGTGTATAAGAGACAGTATATATACTGCCACCAATACGTAATTGTAGGGAGGTAAGTTTTTTTAATGACTTGCTGAATTTCAAGTAAACATGTATTTCAATAGGTTATTAGTTTCAAATAAAATAAAAATTAATAAGAAAAATTTTTCTTGCAAATAAACATTGCAAATGCCATTCTTATAGTCCGATGTATTTTGATGTCAAGGCTGATTTCCATTACATTGCTACACTGTCACTACATTATTTTCCATGCAATCGTTGCATTATGTAGCTGTCCCTGATGCAATTGGGAATGCTCCCAATTTGATCGACCAAAGCTGTTGGCGATAGCTTGTATTGATTTTATGGAAACCAATCTTTAATTATAACAATTTCCAATTCAGTTTTTAAGTTCTATTGTTTTGAAGCATGAAGATACCAGAGGCTATATTTTTTACAAAATTTTATAATTTACTGTATGAAAAATATACTTATTAATAAATGAATCATAATAATGTTAAGATAGTTGATCACAAAATGCTAGCGTACATTCCACTGGTCATTGTACTAGCCTACATTTATGTTTCAACAGTTAGTGAGTGTTGCATTCAAAAGGCAAACATCTGCCTGACTCTTCATAATCCGAGGTTCAATCCCCATTAGGGATTACGTTTTCCCCATGATTAAACATTAGTTCTCTGTAAAATGTCTTGTACAAATGTAGGTACATGATACACAGTAATTTACTTTTCATACAAATTGCTAGTCACTGGTTTAACTTACTCACTACCGTATGTCACATTTAATATAAAGGGCACAAGAGTTTGCTTTAAAATTGCAACCACAAATAAAAATTGATCGAAATTTTTTTATTTGATATCTAAAAATACAGTTGAGTCAAAAACTATTGGCTCTATGGATGCATGTATTACCCAGGGTGCAAAAAAGGTTTACAATAAAATAATTTTATAATTAATACAATTATCTGTGACACCCAGCTTCTGTGGTTTGTGTAGCAAGTGACAAGAAATGTTAACTTGAATCGTAGGTTTAAGCAAAAAATTTTACCAGGGTCCACCAAAATCCATGAACTAAAATTTAGTAAACATGGGTTTCTGTGGTTCAGAGATACCCACTTTTTGAGCAAACACTTTATAAACCAACCCATCATCACTTACATCAATTATCAAATATAAAGGCCTCCAGATTACAGTCAATAAGTTGAGAAATAAGTTGAGAAACTTTGAATAATAGTGAGATGTAGATGAGATGAGGAGCAATCTGGGACCCTAATAATTTATCTACGGCATGAATACTGTTCTGTTTAGATTTGCCACAATAACAGCCCATCATCACAATAGCACATTGTAGTTTAGCAAGCACGCTACCTATACAGTATCAACTGAAATGAGGTGTACACATGTGTTAGTTTATTTCTGAATAGTCAAAACAACAATGTCTGCGATGACAGATTTTCAATTTCACTTCACATTCCAGAAGAATAAACTTGATGACATACGAACATTATGAATATAATTACGCATGCTCACATGAATCACTCGTCGTTGGTTAAAGTAAAACTCCTGTCAATTGCAGCCTAAATCAATCAAATTCTACATTAATCGGATGTCTCATTAATAGTAAGAATGTTCAGCTTTTCTATTTTCCTTTCTCACAATATTTGTTTAAGTTCTTGACAGATCTAAAAATGTACTTTGATTTGTACCATTGTACTATGTGCACAATTATTGATACATTTCCTGGTCTGGAGTAAAGACCAGAGTGTTCTTAATTAATACAGACTGACACGGTAAAGGTCTACTGACTTCAACGGACAATGTGAAACCAACGGCTACACATGTGTATGGTTACATACATCCAGTGCCTTGCCCCCTGTCATTATTTCTAAATTGTAAGCGAGGTTTCTCATATTTAGGTCACCCTTTACTATAGTAGGTTTGAGGATAATTAGGCTTAAATTCAAGACAGACCAGTAGCAGTATTGAGTGAGCATGTCAATAAATCTTAACTGATCAAGCTGGAATACAAGGCACACATAAACCAGGGTCCAATAATTATTAGATATGCTTTGTAACAGTTAGAGGAAAATTTGTAAAGTATGTTTGCAATATAATGTGTTAAAATATAATGACAGCTTACATCCTGCCAAGATGCAATTGCTATGACTTAACTAAAGACCCAGCAGAATACCCATCTGAGCCTCTGTAACCATGTAGGCATAATAAATGTCCCCACTCTAATATTCTGCTATTTTAATTTATCAATAAGTATTTTTCTAAACTTTATCTGATTAAATTAAAATTGATTAAATGATTAAGCAATGGCACTAAGTATAACTTGGTGATAAAGGCACTTGCCTTCGGATCCCAGGGTCCTAGATTCAAATCCAGCATTTGTTCTCATGTTTAACTCCGCTATTATGAGACTAAAGCCAGCACTCGTGTCGCCCGATGCAATTCTATCGACAATACGCCACGAAGCGCGTGTAACGGATTGTTTGAAATGACAATTCATTTAACCGGCTCCGGACAGTTTAATACTATACAATCATCACACTATAGATAAAATAAATTAATTTAAAATTAACAGTTAAAATAATTTAAATTTTGCTTTGCTTCACTTATTATTTTTGTTGCAAGTGAATCATATTTAAATCTACATCTTCTTCATGCTAGAAATACTTATAAAAAAAATAAGTTTTGACATAGTATTACATGTGGTAGAGTGTGTGTGTGTCTAAGAGTGATAAGATTTAAACACCCAATATAAAAGGTACACGTTCCAAACTTACAGAGAGGTTTGACGAGTTGTCACAAATGCATATGTGGTGATTTAAGAGTCGCGGTAATACTCCCAATGAAAAAAGGATGCAACAAACTTTAAATGACTACATTAGTAGAATTATCCGTACTTTTCAAAATAATTCTGTCTTCAGAAATATGTTGTGTGAATATATGAATTGTATACATTTTTCAAATACTAAATAAACCTAAATAAACCTAGATGTTTAGGAAATCTAAATTGCTTAATACCCATAGTAGGCTGTACATGGAATGAACACCTGAATGTACTTCCTAGGTTCCACCTCATGAGACACGATCAACATGTGCAGTCACCACTTGCACAGAACTTGACTGCGAGACACGTTTAGTAAGATAGTATAATACATAATTCAAGTATCGAAATGCACGCCATCGAGTCGGGATTCAGACATGTTTAGCATGTGCAGTCACCGAGCTGAGCACACTACTGAGTTTGGCTCTTTTCCAGCTTTTTTCCCCTGCAGTGCTGGCTTTTAATTTTTGAGGTATTTTTCAAATTTTTTTGGCATACAACATATTTTAACTTACGTCAGAGATTAAACAACATTGGTCAAGCCATCATCTGAATTTTTTTTAAATTTTTACAAGAAAATGGAAAACTTGAGCATCAAGAGGGGTAAATAAATAAATAAATAACCTCAAACACAGTTCAGATTCATAACCACCATAACCACTAGATCAATTTCATCTTTTTCTCATCTGCAATCAGAGCAGTCAACGGTGCATGTGCACGCTAGTAATTTTTACTAAACCCCGAAACCTTGAAAAAATTGTGTTGGAAGGTAGTTTTCTACCATAGTATTTTAGTTTTTGGTTGAGTACAGTTAAGCCTAATATTCAATTCATAATGGCCCCAAATACATGACTCAAAATACCAGGATGGTGTCCGGCGGGGGATAGTTTTTACCTTGTATAATAGTGTCATTCATTACAATCGCAATCTCAATTTTCAAGCCCCAAAACCTTGATTCAGAAATACCAGGATGGTGTCTGGTGGGAAATAGTTTCATGATATTGTTACATTGTTACCTAGTTATTGTTTTTTATTTATATATGAGCGGACCCTTGCAATATTTCTATGTAAAATGAATTTTACAAATGACAATAATTTTTACTGAATACTGAATAATTATACAAAAGTAAAAGTAGGATGTGAAAAAAATAATTTAATTCTTACCTGTGAAATTCTAATTTCTTCAACAATTCTAATCTGCAATAGAAAAAAAAAAACAATTTAGTCAATTTAAAAGCCAAGAAAAATACACTATTGTAAAAAGCTGACTCAAGTGCACTTATAGTGAATATATAAACTCAACCACTGAAAGGAAACTATTTAACACCCACTCGGAATAACCATATACTGTAATCAACAGGTGAGTATGTGACAAATTTAGTTTGATAGCTTAAATTTGTGTACTCAACAACTTTGATGAAAAAATTTGAGGGTTTTTTGACCTTCTGGTTTGACAAAGTCCTCTTTCTTGTTTCAATTTGTTTTCTTTATTTCATTGATCAAAGAATAACAAACATATATATTAACATGAACTTGATTGGGGTGGGCCAGATTAAATAAATAAGCTTTTAGAATTCAGCTTCCCCCGCATTTTTTTAATCCTACACAGAGGAGTCATACCTTTATGTCATAAAATCTCACTAGAAGGGTCTCAGAGTGATAATCATATTTACTTTAAAGGAAATGTTAATCAATTTAAGTAAAGGAACTCTACTTTTGTAGAATCCAAACACAGTAATTCTATTGAATATGGTTAAACAATTTTATGTTTATTTTTATATCAATTACTTTGTATTTCTTATTTATCAATAAAATCTGAATGATGAATGATTTTATTATTAGATGATGTGATGAGAGAATGATGTCACTATCTATTCACACCAGCAGGGGTATAGCACTGCAATCTGGCTGAAACAGGTCTATAGGGGCCTAACTTACATTTCAAAGCTACTTATCTAGGACAAATCGAGTCACTATAATTTAATTCTATGTACAAAAAAAGTGACATTAACTGAAATTGAGAATTCTGATTTGTACTACAAATCCTATAAAATTAGTTTATATAAATAAATGTTAAATATATTACACAAGTAATAACAAACAGCAAAAGTTAAAATTAGTTTACAATTAAATATGAAATTAATTACAATAGTGTTCACTATAATTTTAAACTCTTATTCCTCTAAGTAATTTTTTATTTTTATAAAAGTTTATATTGGTAAATTTACATAAAAGAAATAAAAATATTTAGTTTACTTGAGTCTAATTATCTGAGGTTTGAAAAAGCACTCATCCATATCAATACTTTTATCAGTTTTAATTTAATTTGTAAATTTGGATTCAATTTGGGTTAATCTGCTCTGTTCCACATCTAAAACAACGCAATGCCTTAAATGATGTCACTGTTTGAAGTACGTACAAGACCAGCTTAAGGCAATTGATAAGCTAAGCAAATAAAATAATTTCTTTAATCTTCATATACGTAACTTTGATGCGACGCAATCTTGATCAAAGATACGCATATGTGTTCTAAATTATGACAAAATCCTTGTGACTCATCTTTAGTACGGCCAAATCAAAAACAATTAGAGTTTAAGTGAAATCTGACTTTCATCACACATAATTTATTTCAGACTTGGAAAAAAAGAATTTATCAACCCATTGCAGAAGCTGCTGTGGTTTAGGTTCTCTAAACTCATATTGTCACTTCCTATTCTTTGTTTAATACAGAGTTTACTGTAGACGGTTGATTGGATGCGTGACTGACTGAGTAGAGCAGATGTAGAGGATGAAGAAGGAGTGGTATAAGTACTTTATCTAATTCAATCAATAAGAATTCATTCACTCAAAATATTGATTTTCATTTTCAATACGAATGCTAAATAAATAACTAATGATTTATTAAATGTAGATCTATTAAACTTATATTAATAGTGGTCTATATAGCACTCTGAAAAATAGGGCACTAATTTATATTATTGTTATTATTATTATTATTATTATCATATTTAACACAAAAGGACAAATACAAATAATAAACATGCTATAGGATCATTTAAATTATATGCTATCAAAATTATTAATAATTAATTATTTTTAATATAATTTTGATATATTTTTTACATGTTCTGGTACACAGTTTCTTCCCAAGATGATAAATCTGTTTTCATATGCATTATTAAATTCAAAGTGCACATAACTATTTCTTAGGTATACAAATTTTCAGACAATAGCAAGTGGCACAACTGAAAATGAAAGTAAGTAAAGGAATACAAAAACTTTTCCAGGAATAACTAATTGGGATTTACCAAATATTTCAATACATTGTTAGCACTTCCAGACCACTAGGAATTCCTTTTGAAATTGTTAAAGTAATTCATATACTATTAGTTCTAAAACAAAACTTATTTTCAAGTAAATAATTACTAAATTAGCACAAAAATAATGTTATATTGTGTGCTTTTGTATATAGGTAGCACTTTTTTAGAGCAATGTAAAGTGATACTACAAACATCTACTTCACTGAACAAGTTGTTATATCATTTTTTATCTAATACATGAGACATTAAAGGTTTAAAATGCTAAAATATGAATACTAATTCTTGATCTGATTGACACTGACGCTACAAAATTATTGCATTAATATCTAGTGGTAAAATGATAAACTGACAAGTTACAATTTCATCACCATCGTCATCATCTCAACTACAATTTTGAGATTGTTATGTGAATCATCGACCAAGACACAGATCTGCCATAAGGAATAAAACATTTAGTTCATACTCAATATTTACTCAATTACCCAGTTGAAGAGATAAAAAAAAAAACTGATTATCAAAATCAAGAATCGGAGATGAATTTAGACTGAACATTTCATCGACCACACCTAGAATATACATACAAGTGATGATATAACAAGCGGTATAGGGCTATTTATCAGTCAGAATACGGATAACCTAATTTACGGAGAAACAGGTTGAAACCAGCCAATGTCTTGAAAACAGAAGAGAAAGTAGTATATACTGTTTGGCATTCTTTTTATATTTTGATGAACAAGCAAGGACAAAAATTGGGTTTTTATGGACTCTAGGGACATGAGGTAAACTTACTATATTTGACCCATATCCTGAGACGATTCAGTTAAGGGGAAGAGAGAGGGGCACACAGCCACCCAGGGGAATTCAGGATCTGGGTAAATTCCTTTGGTAAGATATTATTCATCAGTGACCTCATCTTCAGAGGCTAATCTTTTAAAATAACCTTTCCAGAAAAAAAGATCAAGTACCTGAGTTATAGACAAGTGTTTCGTTTCCACTAGCTAATAGAAAATATTGATATTTTTAATTTCGCTTTATTGCTACTCTTGTAGGAAATATCATTGGGAGGTGATATGGCACTGCACGAGGGAAAATCATATTTGTCGCGATAATAAAATTGTATGACTCTTATTGCACACACTGCAAAACTTAAAACGAAAATACACAATAATACAATGCTGGTTATAATTTCTGAAATTGATAAACCATTGAGAAAATGAATGACCTAGAAATACGACAAGAAGCTGATGTTACAAGCGCTCTGTTGACCAAAATACCGGTGGATAATTTGATATGAAACAAATGTAGAAGAGTCTAGAGGATTAGGTACAATATACTTAACGGATATGTCGGAAGAAAATCAGATGACGTCGAAGAATTGAACCGCGCCCGATGGGGTTTCCAAAGAGCCGGCAGTAAGCCCAGGACTGACTTTATAGACGGATTACTCATCCAGACCAACATGAAGAGCTGTTAACAGAATTTATATTAATACCTTTCTAAAAGTCCAGTAAATATCAGAAACATTATTTAGGTCAGATAATTTTGTTTAACTGCCTGAGTTCGAAAAATATATTATGAACACTTTTTACTTTCAAGACAAGTTTCCCATTACCTGATAAATGATAAACATTAATTGTTACAACAAAATATTAATAAATAATTATAGGTTTTCGGTACACCACGTTGCATGTGCTACAAATCTCAACTGATGGTAATTTGGTTCTGAGAAGAACCAAAGGTAAGGTAAAGGTCAAAGCGAAATGGAGTGCCCGTCTCTTTCTTTAGCGTTAGGTCCAGACTGTGAAAGGCTGTTGGGGGGTGGGGGGTTGCCACTCCTCCTGCACTGCAGTCTGTTTTACCTTCCCAGCATATGCTGGTACCCATTTACACACCTGGGTGGAGGGAGACAAATGTATATAAAGCGTCTTGACTAAGGACACAAGCGACTTGCCACTTGTCTAAGAAGAACTGTTTTGGATTGTTAAAATATTCAAAAATATATCACATTACAAAATATATGTAATATGATTTTTAATGTGTTAATCTAGAACAATGAAAAACAGAACAAAAAATAATTTAGTAACTGGCAATTAGTGATTTTTTTTTTCGATTTAATGAGGAATGTTGTACATTGTATTGTATTTTATATGTGAAGACAAATAAATTTTAATCATTATGCAAAATAACATCATTATTGTTAGTGTGTTATTAGTGTTAAAAACACAAAACATGCACAAGAATGTTAGAGGAAAATTGCAATCAGACTTAAGCAGATGACTTGGCTTTTGTTTACCAAAGGCCTAATTAATAACAAATTAACTAAATAATTGATGAGGAAACACAATATATTGTCATAGTAAACGAAAATAAATTCAATGTTCATTCTTTATACAATTCATAATGTCAGTATGTTGAGGTTTCCACATGAGAAAATTGGGAAACAGTTTGTTTATTTATGTAAGTATTTATGAAATAGACTCACTTTTGATTGGATTGGAATACAACACAAAATTATATGTATTTTATACAAAACAAAATTTTTATTCACAGTTAAAAATGATGATAATAAATAAAATGTGTTCCATACACAAATATAGATTAATTGTTTTGCTGATGGAGGTATTTCTTCATACCAAACAATTTTTAGAGGTATACGTATCTGTTTGCAATTTAACTCTTGTATGAATTTTGGAAACATGCATGATATGAAAACAAACAAACGCAATCATGGTTACGTACATATAATGAAAAGAATGAGTAGTTGTTAGAAGAAACAAAAAAAAGATGGATAAACTAACCTGAGAGAAGAATCCAAAATTGAAAGCAGTTGAAGAATCACAGAAAATGAGAGAAAAGGGATAGAAACACTGACCACACTCAACATAACAATATGAATACAATGATCATTATACGATGGTCATTTACAATGGTTACTCGCAGTACAATGCTCACTTACAATGGTCATTTACAATGGTTTTTTTTTTTTAAATGGTAACTTATAATGATGGTCAGTTACAATATTACATGGCTATCATCAATGGTCACTTGGAATGATCATAAATGTAATGATCATAATAATGATCACATAATGATCATTCACAATGAACATTGTAAATGTTTATTCATTGTGAATGATCATTATGTGATCATTCACAATGAACAAACATTGTAATTACTATGTGATCATTCACAATGAACAAACATTGTAAATGTTTGTTCATTGTGAATGATCACATAATGATCATTCACAATGAACAAACATTTACAATGATCACCTGCAGTGGTCATTTACAGTGGTCATCTACATTCAATTGGTCATTGAAATACAATGTAATTATTCACTTTGCATTTTTGTAAAATCTGTAAAATCCAACGATAATTTAAATAAAAGAGAACCTTTTCAATTGACAGTTTAATTTTGTGATGCTTCAAAATGCACAATTTAATTGCTGATGTTTTGAGGTCTTCTAGACAATTTGGCAGAGATATTATTAATCAAGAAAATTACAAAAGCTATGATAATACCATACTCAATACAGTATATGTTACATAACTACACATTTTATAGTTTATAAAGAAAGTATTGGTGTAGACAAGGAAACTAACCCTTAATGTAACATGTGTAGAAATGTTTTGAAATAGCTTGTTTACTCGCAAGTATAGACAAGGACAAGGAATACTTATAAAACGTGTACAAATATTGTAAATAGGTTGTTTACTCGTCCGTTGAAAATTGTTAAAAATAAAAAATTTTTAAAAATAATATCACAGGCAAAGTTTTATGTCAGCAAAATTTGTTTAATGGCCATGAAGAGTAGTAATTTCATTAAAAGTTGACAAGAAGCAAAGTTGTTGCAGTCAATATATGTAATAATAATAATAAAAAATTGTAAATTTGCCAATGCTAATTATCAAAGGTATAATACCCATAAATATGTTTTAATATTCACTTTAAAAATGTCAGTGCTTTTGTACTTTTAACAAAGGCTCATTTCACAGGCAAAAAAAGTGCATTGACCTATAAGCTTTGATTAGGAATCTTAAGATGAAATATTTATCTGCAAAAATGAAAGATAAGATGGAATATAATAGTAATAATAATAATATTAATAGTATTAATAATAACATAGAGAGTAAAAATTTCAAAATATAATTATGATTGCAAGAAAAATAATAGGGCCTTTAAATTGTAAGTAAAATAAAAAAAATATATACATCTATAGATGAAAAAATGGCGGCAAGTTTAACAGTAACAAGAAGGATTAAACAAATTCTTTAACTGTGGCCATTTAATTTCAGGTGAAGACAATTTTCAACTAATAAATATGGATATGAAATCCGATTCCAATTCAACATTCACAAAGAATTTGGCAAATAAGCACCTTCCTTTTTCACAAGGATCAAATTCTTTGAAACTTCTATAGAATTATTTAGAATATTATATTTTGCAGTTGTTTATATTAGCCAAAAAACAATTTAGTACTAAATTTGGGAATGTGCATTCATGAAGTTATATCAAAAACACAGTGCAATGTAAATCCAATTTGTCGGGTCAAGGTGTCAAGACTGTCCGCAACGATCATTTCTTGCGTGAATTTCCGGTTTTGCCTTCAATTGTAAGGGCCGTATGAACTTAATCAACTCCAGTGAAATTAATCGGTATGTTTCACCCCATGAGGTCGGCAGGCCCTCTTTGTGCTTACGTGTACGCTCTAGGATTATCAAAACACCACAATAACCTCCAATATATCTATGAAATTAATCATAATTTGTTTTGTTTTAAGCCAAATTTAAACACCTATTCCAACTGGTGTGGAAGACATGGTTTTCGTGGTAAGAGAAAAAAACTTGTCTAGTTTACTCATCATTACACTACAAATACTCCTGCTTAATATATTGACAAGGACAAGGACATGAAATGGAAAGTGCCAAGAAATTCAAAAACATATTTATCAATATCAAAACATTAATTTTATAGTAATATGTAAGTTTACAGATTGAAGCTACAGCCGGAAACTTTGAGGGTAAAGTAAAATTAATCTAATTAAATTTGATTCTCATCAATATACTTTTACAAAAATTGTTGCCTGAAAAATGATACGCATCTAAACTGCAATATAATTATTATGAAAACAATTTTTTTAAAAGTTATAGGATCTAGCCATGTAATAGCAAAAATTAAATTAATGAATTAAAAATAACACAGACAATACAGATTAATAATTATTAATAGTGACCTCATTATTACTGTTGTTTCCTTTCATAAGATCCGGTGATAAAGTTCATTTGCATCACCAGATTAACTATTCTTTATCTTATAAATTCCAAGACTTACCGACAATCCCTCTGGAGGACCACTTAAAGAATCAACTTCTTAAAATATCAAAATCCAATAAAGTGGAGTACTTTAGAATTTGGCAGAGCCAATTACATATTCATGAGGATGCAAATTATGTATGTCCTATTTTCCCATAAGAACCTTTAAACACTAGCGTATGACAAGTGAAACTTACAAATTATGGAAGAATAATTCAATTATTAAAAGATTTAAATCAAAAAGTATAAAGAAAGAGTGCAAGGATTCTCTGATGCATTTACATAACTCAATAAATTAAACGGAAAATTAAAAGGTGCAAATATACAAATCAAAATGTTCTGTACCGGAACACCACCGTTTCCTTTCAATCCTGCAAAGACAAAAAAAAAAAAAGGTATGAGAATTTCTGCATATGGTATTTGAGTCATTTTCAATGCTTTCATTAGCTTACATTTTTCGCAACTGTTAAAATTGATTTATTTCCTTATTTCATTTTTCTTAATAATTTATACACAAGCACAACCAATTATCACTTACTAAATACCATTTAAATTGATAGTACTTTTCATTTAAGAGTTATATTTTGTATGCATACTGCAACTACCAGGATTGTATACTATTTACCTGCTTGGCCGGTGGCTCCCTTTTTACCTCGTCTTCCTTTCACGCCTGGGGGACCTACATCACCTTTTTTACCAGGGTCACCTTTGGGGCCTGAAAGTAGAAATCAAATTTTAAGTCTAATATTTTCAAGTCATGTTTATATCTGATGATGAAATTATAAATTAATATTTTCTCATTCTAATACTATAACAAAGTTGTTTGGACTTATATTGATAAATGTTTGACTTTGTGCAGAACGTGTCTTATTTACATGCTTCATATTAGTACGCTGATCATTGGATTAAACATGTATGAAACAACTACTCAGATCCCTAGGGCAAATTCCATAATGTTGCAGCAAGTGATAAGCACATTAATAACATTCACACCTACCACATACCCACATTACATACTCCGGGTACACAGAAAAAACACGGAAAAAAGTGCATTGCCCACGAACGAGAGGTCAAGCGTATAAAGACTTGATTGCACAATCTTACAGTACAACTAAAAGCCAAAGCTTTACCGCTGCGAATACTTCCGTATTGTCTGAAATTTGATATGGTATGTAATGTATGCTGTAATGGTGTACATCTATTCATTACATAATAACATACATTGATACAGTAGGAATGAGATTGATATCTCCGTCTCATTAGAGACGTCTTGTACTTTATATTATTGGGCAAATATTATGGCTGATTTGCACATTCTTCAATGTTGGATCTCACCTCACCTCTCTATAGGGTATGTTCACACATATAGAGTATGCTTACGCCATCATAAGCTAATCCACGGATTAAAATTCCAAAGTGTTCACACAAACGGCATTCGCTATATTAATACTGGCGTTAAACTACTGTAGTAGTAATACAGGCCTATGGGGGAATAGTTTTCAGTTTTAATGTGGCGTTAGCTAATCTGGGGTCTGCAGGTAGCATTAATAACGCCACGGAGGTGGCGTTAGTAACGCCACTGACTAGTTCGCACACAAAGGCGTACACTACGCTAGGCTTAGGCCAGCCTTATGCTGTGTGTGTGAACATACCCTTATCCTCTTCGTGCGATGAAGAACAAATTAAGGCCATCTTCAATGTTGGATACTCATTAATATTAGATGAATCATGTACTTTATGTTACGGGACAATGATGAAGAATCAAATAGATTGGCCATTCGCATATTCTTGAATGTCTGATTAGTCATTCATGTACAATACATCTTGCATTTTATGTTATACAGTAGGACAAACATGATGAATGATGTTTCAATGTCTGATGCTCATATTAATATGAGACACATCTTGTGCTTTAAAAAAAATGATTGATTAATCTATTTTCTGTTCATATATTTCTCTGTTATTATTGGTTGTTCTAACTATACTATAAGGAATTCTGCTACACCATGCCTTAACAAACTCATACAACAAACTTGTGCATTTCATAAATACCAAGAACAAAGAAAGTATATCATTAAGGTTTCTTGTTTAATCTTCGGGCTACACTTCAAAGTCTAGGCCTACATATGACTAGTATACACTATTAAAATTAATACAGCAATTCAAAACCACTAGAATTTTCATCTCTGAAATCCTTGTCAAATTAATTGTATATGAATAGTCCAGGGTGGTTAATTAAATCAAGATTGACTCCGAGTGTAAACTGAAGTAAGTCAGGTCAGAAGAACGTAATTATTTGTGATTGGCCTCTACTTGATGAAAGAACACTATGCAAGCTTTCAACTTTTTAATAACTTAGGGGTGTTTTTGCTTTAAAATAATGTGATATAGTGCATATTAAAACCCTTATGTATTAAAAAAAAGTATAAAACATCCATAATAGTACAGTATGTATATAAACTCCGTGGTTTAATTAAGAATCTGTAAATTAGTATGTACTGATAAACTCTGCAATATTGGTGCAGTTTTGTCACTAATATATTTTATCGCTTCAAGATTTTTGCATTATATAATATATAAAAATGCCATATTACATTTCTCCTTTGAGAATGTATAGTTCATATAATCTGACTTATCTGAACATGAAACTTCACAGAAAGAAACCTAGACAACATGTTGACATCTATGGGCCTCTGAATATTAAGTCTCATAATTGAAATCAGTGTATATTACCATCACTGCAGCTTATTCAATGTTTCTAAGGAAATTAATACAGAAATGAACGCAATAACTATACTATTGTACATTTCAATTAAACATTCCAATCGATATTTCTGCTACAGCATAGACATAAAGCTAACAATGTATCAGCTGTCAGAACTTTAATTTGACAAGCATATAAATAGATTTACAAATGTCACGAATTAATAGACCTTAATAATTCTACAACAAGAACTATCAACATGACCTTTAAAGAATTGCTTAATCTTGAAAAGTAATTTCTCCACAACTTAGTAATATTAACAATAAAGTTTTATAATTTCTTTTAGTGCGTAATTCTTTTAAATATTTCAAAATCTACATACAGAAAAGTACAGTAGTAATAAAGTCAAATAAACTTGAATACTTGAAAATGCGCATTACATGCCCCTTTCATTCCACATCGCTTATTAACCATGTATGTTTACTTAACATCATGTTTTGCTTAAAGATCATGTTAGCATTCCTACATCATGTCTTCATGACACAACAAACACGAAACGTAAAAGATACTGACATTGAGATGAGAATCATTTATCTCAGTCACGAAAAAATAATCATGTTAAATTAAATTTCATGGCAAGTCCTATGTTTGAACCTGGAGAAAACGAAAGATAAATAGTACAATATTGGTCATGCTTCTTTGAGCAACAGAGTGCACATTCAAGGCAACATCCGAAAAACTTAATTGCTATCAATCCATTACACTGTAGGTAACAGGACATTCTTCACTCAGTGTTGCTTTTGATGCGCCAAAGAGAGACGACATGGAATAACAGGAATACAAAAACATGGATTACCCATTCAATTCCCACGATAGCTTGAAAAAAAATAATTCCCCACTTTTGACCATTTATTGGCCAAGAAAATATCTGTGTCTGCCTTGTGTTTATTTGTGCATCTTTCAGCAATGCAATCACTACCCCATCAATGTCTGCACTATTCATAACAAACACTAGTAGACGAGTAGTGCAGGAAGCCAGAATAAACCAACAGTTTGTTTGGTTTTTAAGTGCACATCTGTTTGGTTCATAGGTCGATCCACAGCCATGACCTTTTGCGGAAAATATATAGAAGTGGTTTTTTACATTCTTGTAAATTTTAAATCTAGAAATAAAATAGGAAATTCCAAAAACTTCAAAAAGAATACAAATATAAATATAAGCCTATTTATGTAGGCTATTTAATATCTATTTATATATTGTTCGTTTGTAAAAATATGTTGTTTGTAAATATTCACTTTTGTATATTTGGCGGCAATTGCCTTCCATATTTATCGCTTTCCTCCTGTTCTCTTACTCGCTAGTTTCATCACTTAGCATTAAGCCCCTAATACTAGAATCCCTAGAAGGAGTCACAACAGGATCCTCTCTTTTGATCAGTCTACTTTTCCGACAAGATAACGAAAGCAGAGAGGTAGATAGCGACGAGGTCCAATTACCAAATATGAGTAAACCTTCTTATGCTTGTGATGAAGAATTTAACGCTTGAGTAAACTTGTCATCTACGCTTTGTTGACAAACCAGGGAATGACCAGAGAATCAGCGATTATAATTTATAGTCGCCAAAAAGCATGGCAACTAGAGAGAGTGTCAGTTATCAACTACACGCTAGCGTCAAACCGCTACAACAAATATGCCCTATATCATTTCCCTGCTACGAAAACATGTTCAGTTTGAACTCAAATTACGTTTCTGTACGAAACTGTAAGAAAATGAGACATAAAGAAAATGATAGTTAACAAGTTGCATAAACTATTTGTCCTGGTTATAAAATGGAGATACGTGCCGAAAATATAAAATATAAGCTTTAAAACTTACCAAAAACCCATGAAAATTACAAATGACGGTGTACGAACAAACGCATATAGCTCCACTTCAAACAGTCGTAACTTTTTAACGAAAAGGCAAATTTTTATGCGGTTTTTTTGTAAATTATTCTTCGTAAAACTCTCTTGAGATGCAAATTTATTGAACAGCGAAATTGAATAAAAAAAACTCTGCGCATGCTCTACTGGTCGTTTGTCATGAAATTATTTTCTCTACAAAGACAAAATTTTAACAACTGAGGGTGCAAGATCATCGGAAAAGTACCCTATTGACAAAGACAGGCAGCTAGTCACGGTTCTCTTTGAAGATTCAGTACACCGCGCTTCGCTCATTGGCTGTAGATAAGTAGATAAATGTGTTGTGACTCCTTCTAAATAAAAACTCCCTGCTGAAACTATTAAACATCCCCTTCCTATCTTCTAATCTGTCCACTTTTAGCCTTGCACAATGTATTGTGTTTCTTTTCTGCTCCCAGCACCTTACATGTACATGAAGATTACTTGCAAAACTACAGTACACATGGGTTTTTTATGCATTTTCTCACCATAACCCCTTTATCTGCATGTTTTTATCAAAACACTTAAATTCCTGCTTTGATTTTTATTGAGACATTCATCCGTATATCTATCAACGTTGCAATTCACTTGGTCTTGACCAGAACCATGTGTCGCAATTAGATAAAGCATTTAAGGAGACCAGCCCAATTAAACATTTATTGTGAAATGTAATATAAGAAAGGAGTTAGCGTTAAGTGATTTAATAGCTTTTGTTATTAATACCACCAGCCCATTTGAGGATATTTTTTTACATTTGATGGGAAATCGAAGGAAAAGGATGTTGAGAAACCTTGGTTGGCTGGAGATAGTAGCCTCCTATGAAGGCTACTGTATGTTAATAAAAGTTGAATGGAGGGATGTAATTGATTAAGTGACCAAGCATTCTACTTGACCTTGTGCGAGAAATACCATCCCTTGCTGATGTTTAGAATTCAAAGAAATTCAATCAAAATACAAACTCTATTACTTGGATTGCATTGTGTTGTGATCATGGACTTTGGAATAATACCTATTATTATATAAAGTAAGACGAAAATTATATATAATAAAAAATAAATAAAACAATAAACATTTGAAACAAATTTTTGCAACTAGTTTATTTTCTCACTGGTTTCCTGACCAATACACTAGTACTCATGGGAATCAACAATAGGCATTTTTCAGTCATCATGCTTAAATATTTGCATTTGCGCTAAATAATATTAAGATCTCATAAGCCTATTTATGTACATGTAAGTTGCTAGGAGCAAAAAATAAACACAATACATTGTGCAAGGCTAAAAGTGGACAGATTAGAAGATAAGAAGGGTATGTTTCATATTTTCAGGGATTCTAGTATTAGGGACTTAACGCTAAGTGATGAAACAAACGGGTAAGAGAACAGGAGGAAAGCAATACATATGAAAGGCAATCGCCGCCAAAAATAAAAAAGTGAACATTCACAAACAACGTTTTTTTACAAACGAACAATAAATAAATAGATATTAAATAGCCTACATAAATAGGCTTAATATTCAAATGCAAATATTTAAGCATGATTACTGAAAAACGCCTACTGTTGATTGCAATTCCATGGCCACAAAGGAGTGTTTATGTTGCAGCCCATGTCAGGTATCCATCCTACCTGCGAATTCTGTATTTTTGGTGGCGATTGCCTTCCATAGATAAATCTAGGGCTGTTGAAACGAAGGGATGGCATCTCAATACATGGCAATCAATGATAGTGTGAGTAATGGGGCTAGTGTTGCCAAGGACAGTACAGTAACTGATATAAGGATGTGGCTTTCTAAGCTGATAAAAGAGAGATGATTGAGGAGTGAAATTTGATGGCCATTTTGATATGATCAGAAAGATTCAATAGACTTTCACACTTTGATCAAAATTTAACTATATATTATTAAAAAATTACAAGGCCAAAAAATTACCTGTTTTAAGAAGAATAAGGAAACAGCAAACTAATTTTTTTAACTTGGACACAATAAGAACACTGTTTACTTTACTAGTCCTATGATACATCAATCACCTAAAGACATAGTATAATACACCT